GTTAAGTATTCACCTCTTTTTGTATTGGCCACAAATCAGATTTAATTTCAAATCACGTTTATTGAGCAGGCTAGGAATTTTCCTTGTATTTTATTCTTATAACAGCCACATGAAATAGGGATTACAATCCACGTTTAACAAATGATTTTTAATTGAGACTGCCACATGTTGTAGCTGAAATCCTCCACCTTCATTCCTTATTAAGCGTCTACGACCTTCCGGGGATGGACTAGTTCGCCAGTTTCTGCTTTCTTAAATTCAGTCTAGGGATGAAGGTAGAAATTTAAAAACCCAACACTCCAGCATTGCAAAAGCACAAAGCATTTTGGGAGTGAAAGGTGGAGTGCTGACTGCAGGCACAGGAAGGTTTATTCAAGGCCTTCAGGCAAGAAGAGATGGGCTCTGGGGAAAATGCCAGTAAAGTTGTCCAATAAAACTAGAATTGTAGAAACGTTGGGTTGTAGAGGTAGACAGAGTCAAATCAGGGATATTCTACTTGAAATTTATCCTAAGGGCAATAGTGAGAAGGGTAATTTAGAGTTGTAAATAGAGAGCGGCATACTTTTTTTTAATGGCTGCTGAGTGGAGAATGGGTTGTAGAAGGGCAGCAGTGGAAGTAGGGAAAACAGGAGGCTAATGCAGTAGTCCTTGCCCCTTAAGTATCATCTAGGCTTGTCAATTCCACTTTCTAAAGGTCTCCCTGAATCAATCCTAAAAACCTCTAATCTCTCCATTCCTACTGCCACGACTCTAGTGAAGGCCACCATCATCTATTACTTAGAGCAGAAGTAGGCAAACTTTCTGTAAGGGCTGGATAACAAATATTTTAAGCTTTGCAGGCCAGATGATCCTATCTCAACTACTCAACTTTAGAGCCTGAAAGTAGACATAGAGAATCAGGAAACAAGTAACCTGTGTTCCCCCGAAACACTTTATTTACATACACTAAAATTGGAATTTCATACAATTTTTACATCGCAAAATATTTTCTATTTTTTTTTCAACTATTTAAACATTTAAAAACCACTCTTACTCTTATGTCACAAGCCACTGAAAAATAGTGAGTGAGCTGGTCTGCCAACTGTAGTTTGCTGACCGCTGGTTTAGAGAGCACTGCTGTGGCCTCCTGGCCAGTCTCTCTACATCTTTCTTACTCTAATATTCTCCACCACAACTTCCAGAGTGTTCTTTAGAAAACATCTATTTTTTTTTTATCCTCAAGGACATTTTTTTTTTTTTTTTTTGCATTTATCTTCAGATAGAGAGGAGAGAGAGGGTGGAAGAGAGAGAAACATCGATGTGAAGAGTGACACATCGACTGGTTGCCACCCACGCGACCCCAACAGGGGCTGGGGACGAATGCAACCGAGGTATGTGCCCTTAGCAGGAACCGAACCTGGGACTCTCTGGTCCACAGGCCGACACTACCTGCCGGGCAAAACCAGCCAGGGCAAAGACCTCTATTTGATTATGACACTGCCTTATTTAAAATCTTTCAGTGATTTTCCAAGTTCTTTAATGTGGTTTATAAGACTGCCTACGACTTCTAAATTTACCTCCCACTTCTTTCACATTCCTTGTCCCACTTTCCAGGTGATCATTTAGCCATTGCTTCTTTTGGGCTATCACTTACTGTCCCCTCTGCTTGTAACAAACACTCTGCCTTTCTCCCTTCTCTTTTGCCTGCTTAACTCTTCATCCTTTAGGACTTGTCTCAGCTGTTACTAGGTTAAGAAACCCTCCTATCCTAACACAATATTGTACTAGTTAAATCTTTCCAGCCAGACTATGAATCCCTTCAGCATCTAGTATAGCATAGTACCTGAGACACAATATCTTAATCTATTAAATGAATGAGATAGTGTGGAAAATGGACTGGAGAAGGAGGTACTGGCAGCAGAGAGGTCGTCTGGGTATCTGCACCAATATTCCAGATATTGTAGCAACAATGTGTATGGAGAGAAGTAGATGGATTCTAGAGCTGCTATTCCTAGATGACTTTGGACTGCTAAAAAAAAGAAAGTTTCCTCAAAAGGCAGTTCTGCTAGTACTGTGGACATTTAAAGGTGTGCCCTACAGACTTGAGAGCTTTTTCCCAAAGGGCAGTTACAGAATGTCAGCAGCACCTCTGAGAGTAATTGAGCAACCTTCCCTATGTAACTGCTTTGAAGAGATGGTTTCTCAAGCAGAAATAAAATTTCTGTAACAATTGCCTTTAAAATGTTATATTGATAACTCCGTGCGCTCGCCCCTCCTGTCCTCTTTCCGCCATCTTTCCGTGCTGCACGAATATGGTGCGCACGAATGTCCCGGCTGATGCTCTGAAGAGTATCAACAATGCCGAAAAGAGGCAAACGCCAGGTTCTTATTAGGCTGTGCTCCAAAGTCATCATCCGGTTTCTAACTGTGATGATGAAGCATGGTTACATTGGCGAATTTGAAATTATTGATGACCACAGAGCTGGGAAAATTGTTGTGAACCTCACAGGCCAATTGAACAAGTGTGGAGTAATCAGCCCCAGATATGATGTGCAACTCAAAGATCTAGAAAAATGGTAGAACAACCTGCTTCCATCCTGTCAGTTTGGTTTCATTGTACTGACCACCTCAGCGGGCATCATGGACCATGAAGAAGCAAGATGAAAACACACAGGAGGGAAAATCCTGGGATTCTTTTTTTAGGGACGTAATACACATGTGCAAATAAAATGCAATGAACAAAAAATAAAACTAAAATGTTATTTAAAAGTATCATTACTTACTCATCCAATCACTTCACTAAGCTCTCTCATGCTCAGTGAACATAAAGATGAGCTATTTTCTATTAGTTTTCAAGCCACCTCTCTACCACTGCAGAGGCAGTTCTGAAGCACTGGAGGAGAAACTGTTCATGCCAAAATGCATTCTGATTCCAAGGTGGGTGCTCTGCACTCTACAGTTCTACTAGTCCCCTTTCCACCTGAGAGCTCGCACTGCCCAGCACGGTGACCACAGTTGAGACAACTCCAGTGCCTACCTTTAAGTGATGTGAAAGGCAAGAAAGAGGGTTCATTCCAAGAATCTCCTTTGCAAAATAACTTTCACTTTGTCCCTATCTCTATCAGATTCTGGCCCAAGAACACAGTTCCCTCTTCCTGGAAAGCCCTCCCTACCCTTATCTCGTGGCTAATTCCAATCTGTCAATATTTACCTCAAATGTTACCTCTTTCTCTCATCCCCAATTTCTCTACTCCCATAGCATCTGGTACATACCATCATCATTCACGCAACAAATGTTTATTGAGTACTTACTAGGTACTAGATGCTTACCTCTTCTAGGTGCCGGGGACACAACAGTAAACAACAAGAACTGACCAAATTTCCTGCCCTCCTCAAGGCTCACATTCTAATACTCACCATTGTACTGAAATTGTGCCCATCTGGTATCACAAGTATGGGCCACGTCTTACTCATCTTTGCAGCTCCAATGCCCAGGGTAGAGAAGCCTAGAATGCAGGTGCCAAGCATAACTGACTTCAATTGAATGGCCCATCACAAGAACATCAGCTCAGGATTCCAGAGGATCCTCCTCCCTCTCTCTCTATAATCCACTCTGTAGTCAGTTGATCACAGTTCTTTCTTCACCTTGTCCCCTGAACCGTTTACTTAGCTACAGAGTTGCAAATATTTATATCCTAGGTCCTTTGCATATTTCACCATCTCCCTTGTCTCACCAATACACTGAAATGGCACTTTTAACCAGGTTCTATTGTCATGGAGTTTGGTGCTCTGCTCTCTGCTGCTGTAGTCATCTGTTGCCCGTAGTTATGAGTCATCCTACCCATTAGCCAGGAGAGAGTAGAAATGGGTGAACACAGACATTGACTCATGAAAAGAACACCAGGGAACTCTCTACCTCCTGAACAGTATACTCGGTGGTAACTTTTTATATTGGGTTATTTCCTTTCAAAACTCACATTTGCAAGGCATGTTACTGTTTACAAGTTACCTTCATATTCATTCTCTTATTTGACCCTTTCAATAATGCTATGAAGTAGATAGGTATTATTATCCCCATTTTATAAGTGAGGAGACTGAAAGAGGCAGTGAATTATTCAAGACCTCAACTGTTTTTAAAAAATGACCCAAGGATCAAACCAAGGTTTTTTACTAAATTATTCCCACTTTGTCATGAACAAGATACATTCTACCCAGTGGTCTCCCATTCAAAAATATCCTGTTAGTGACTCTCCCCACAGGCTTCAGAACTAATCAAAATGAACTTACTACTGGGAACATCCTTGCAATACATTGACCCTGGGGCTTTGCCTTCTTTGCCAGTCAGCTTGAACCTCAGAGGGGACTGCTACAACTACTCGTAAATTTGAGGCATCAACTATACATAGTCAGGGCTTGGCTCTGGTCTACAATGGCCTTGCAGCGAGGAGAGCCAGTCCTCCTAGCTGAAGCTAAGGTGTGAGGAGATAGTGCTATCATTACAACGACACACATACTAAAACAAAGAACCCAAAAAACAAAAAAACTTTATTTACACTTGAAAAACACGGAAAATTTTTGGTTCTGAATCTGTGATACTTCCAAGGTCTCTTGATCAAACAGGACAACAGCAGGCTGGGAAGCAAACACGGGGCCAATCCTGATTATCTTACTCAAGAGCATCACCCAGAGCAGGGGCAGAGCCGTAGAGGTCTGTAAGGGATGGAAGAAACAAGCAGCTCAGAGGACTGGAAGGGGACTTCCCATGAGACAACACTGTCACCTACCCTCTACACTCCTGATCCTCTTTTCCCCAAAGAGTAAAACCGGTCTGATTCTTGCCAGAGGCCAGACCTTTGGTTCTCCAGAGCAAAGTTGAAAAGTATATTACATAAGAACCAAGACGGAAGAAACTAACATATAAAGCATATTATCTCATTATTTACCCTTCACAACTCTGTGCAGTATACATCATACAATTAAGCAAAGGAGGATACTAGGGTCCCAAGGGGTTTCATGGCTTGACAGTGATGGGGCTTCCTGAGGTACTGGCACCGCAGCATGCATCTTTTGCCAGCCTCTGGCACTCTGTGGAGCTGTACAACAAAGAGTAGGTTCTATGGTCGAACAAAGGTTTTGGTCCCACGGTTATACAGAAATGAAATTCCACACCCTCTGTTTATAGCCTTGGCATTAGCTGTACTAAAATAATAAGGTGAGTACACTCAGATACGACTGTTCCCCTCCTCCCAAATGTGTCCACACCACTCCTCCCCCTGAGGACAAGGGTCCTGGTGTCATACTGCAGGCTCAAAGAGAAGTTTAACTCTGGGCCCTAATGTAGAATGTACAAAAATGTATAAGCGCACTTCATAGGTTGCATGGTGCTCCAGGACCTAAGCTCTGTCATAGACCAAGCACTGTGTTAGTCAGCATGGTCCCTGCCTCAAGGAGTTCTGTCTACAGAAACCAGACAAACACATCTGTGTTGTATACTGATTTTAGAGAGAGGAGAGAGACAGAAACATCGATCAGCTGTCTCCTGTACACCCCCTTCTGGAGATTGAGCCTGCAACCTTGGCACGTGCCCTGACTGGGAATTGAACTGGAACCTCTCAGTCCATGGGATGATGCTCAATCCACTGAGCCACACCAGCTGGGCTAATTGTGTAAATGTTGTAATAGAGATGAACCATGTACTAGGAGCTCACAGGAGGGACCACTGACTGCCTAGGCCAGGGAGATGGAGGGACCAGAGAATGATTCAAACTGATGTTAGCCCCTCTAGGATTAGTTAAAACTACATATATACAGTATGTATTTGTTGTAAGATACATGCTCAATATAGAAAATTCAAGCATATACAGGACAATATAAATTGAAAAGAAAGTCTCTTTGCTATCTCTGCAGAGGTAACCATTATGAATAGTTGGCTATATATCGCTACAGAAATTTCTGAAAGTTATTCAAAATAAATAGTATTGTGGCTTATATGTACTACATCTTGATGTTATCACTTAATTTACCTTAGAAATCTTGCCAGATCTGCTTCTTTCTAAGGCTGTATGGTATTCCACTGACAGATGTACCTCGATGCATGTTAAGGCCTGGTTACAACATATTAAGCTTTGCCTTTGTAGAGTCATACACCATATATTTTGGTCAACAATGGATGATGGTGGGCCCATAAATTATAATGGAACTGAAAATTTCCTATCACCTAGTGATGTCACATCTGTTGTAATATGGTCGTGCAAAGCATTACTCGTGTGTTTACGATGATGCTGGTGTAAATAAAACTATTGCACTGCCAGTCGTACAAAAATATAGCACATACGATGATAATAATGACTATGGATTATTTATTTACTATACTATACTTTTTATTATTTTAGAGCATACTCCCTTCTACTCGCTTCACCAGCAGCATCTTATGCTTACCATGTCTCCTGATTGCATCATTTTCTCTTGTATTTGATTTAATCTTGTGTTGTTTTAGAGATTTAGTGTAGCCATAGCATTCAATGTTTATAAAGTCTACAGTACTGTACAGTAATATTGTAGGCTGTCATGTGCCTCACCACTCAGTGACTCACCCAGAGCAACTTCTAGCCCTACAAACTCCATTCATGGTAAGTGCCCTAGACAGGTGTACCATTTTTAATCTTTTATATCATATTTTACTGTACGTTTTCTATGCTTAGATATGCTTGGAACACAAATACTTATTCTATTACAACTGCTTACAGCATTCAGTGCAGTAACATGCTGTACAGTTTGTAGCAATAGGCTATACCATATAGCCTAGGTGTGCAGTAGGCTATGCAATCTAGGTTTGTGTGAGTGCATTCTGTGATGTTCGCACAACAAAATCGCCCAATGACACATTTCTTAGAATGTATCCTTGTTGTTAAGCGGTGTGTGACTGTACTAGATTGTACTGGAATGGAGCCAGACATTCTCCTCTTCTCTCCCTTTTTATCTGGTAGGGCTTCTGACTTTCAGGGCAGGGAACAAACAGTGTCACACACCCAACAGGAATGCAAATATTTGCTGCCAAATCTCTAGTGCTCCCAAGACCCGTATTTTCACGTGGAACCTCCTTGCTCTTGCCTGGACTGCTGCAGTGGATACCTCACTGGCCTCCACCCCATCCTCCACAATGCTGCCAGAATCAACTTCTAAGAAAATTCAATCACTATGTTCTCCTGCTCAAAATCCTTCAGTGACTCCCACTTGCTTGGTTCTTTTTAAAGGGTTAGCCCCTACACACCTGTTGAGAATTTCAGGAGCACGATGGACTCTCACCTGAGGGAGGAAAAACAAATGTACATACTGCCTGAAGCCCATCCCCATCCTCAGGATAACACATGAACAACTCAGCCTATACTGGTTCTCACAACTGGCCCTGGCCTCGGTCAACCTCACCTCTGTTTGCTTTTCCTACCCTCCTGCTTTGGCCATATTGAATTATATGCAGTCTCCCATATGCTTCCTGCTGTTTCCTGCTTCTATGCTTTGCTCGTGCTGTTCCCTCAGCCTGGAATGCTCTCCCCAGTTTCAGCCATCTGACAAGTTCTTATTCTTTTGTGTACTCAGCTGAAGCGTCATCTCTTCCGCAGTCTTCCCAAACCATTCCAGGCAGACACAGGCTGAATGTTTCCCTCACTTTGTCCTGAACCCTCCAGTCCAGTGCTTTATTGTACTGTAACTGTCAGTTTCCCAAGACACTGAGTACCTCAAAGGCAGGAACTGGGCTTTTCAAATCTGTAGTCTCATATGCAACATGGGACCTATCTTTTTTAAAATTTATTTTTCAATTACAGTTGACAGTATTATATTAGTTTCACATGTACAACATAGTGATTAGATATTTATATACCTTAGGAAGTGACCACCCAGCAAGGGACCCATTTTAATTAATTAGTGCTAGTTGTGAAGGGCTACCCATGTGCCACCAGCATGTCTTTCATAACCTTTCTCTGCAGGCATGTGTCACATCTGCAGGTAATCCCGGAGTGGGGGATAGTTTCCTAAATCTCAGTCATTTCAAATTGCGTCTTCACAACTATTACCATAGCCACAATCCACAAGTATAATTAATTTTTAACCTAATCACTATTTGAACTTCAATAATGCCTCATTATAAGCTATAATAATTGTAAAATTATATGTTGTGCTAATTATACATATTTTCCTCAGATGCAAATGTTAAAAAAAATCATTCCACCACCACCAGAAGCAGTGTTACCCACATTCCTCTGGTAAGAAGCATCTGAGCCCTGGCTGGTGTGGCTCAGCAGTAAGAGTGTTGTGTTGACCTTTGGATCGAAGGATGGAGGGTTCAATTCCTGATCAAGGGCACTTAGCTGCATTGCAGATTAGATCCCCGGCCCAGTTGGGGTCATGCGGGAGGCCACCAATCGATGTCTCTCTCACATCAATGTTTCTCTCTCTTTCTCTCCACTCTATCTAAATATCAGTGGAAAATACCCTCCGGTGAGGATTAACAACAACAAAAAAAAGCATCTGAGATGCTTGTTACAAACATAGAATCCTGGGTCCCACCTTAAACTAACTCAATCAAACTCTCCAGGAGAGGGATCTGGGAAATGCCCCCAAGTGATTCTTCTCTTTAGGGGAATTTGGGAAACAGTGAGCTAAAGAAAGTTCTCTACTGTTTGCCACAAATACCAGGTTTTGGGATCACAGGGAGGTGAGCAGCAATTCAGAATAGCAGGGATGCCAGAGCCAAAAGCCACTCCCATTTCCAAGAGACTCTCAGGCTTTTAAAACAGAGGTTCCACCAGCCCCCATGTGATTACAAGCAACAAAGGACACAGTTCAGACTATGGCAAGAGAATCCTGAGGGCCAAGATTAATCTATGTATACATAATTAAACTGCTCATAAAACGTTTCATAGGATCCCAGGATAAAACATCTAGAGCTATACAGAAAACTTCATTTTCACTAAAACCAAAGTCAGGATCTAAGCAAAACACAAAAGATTTCTAAAAGAAAGTGCTTCAGCTCAGAGCGTCATCCTGATATGCCAAGGTTGTGGGTTCAATCCCCAGTCAGGGCACATATAAGAGTCAACCAATGAGTGCACAGGTGAGTGGAGCAACAAATTGATGTTTCTTTCTCTCCCTCCTACCTCCTCTCTCTCTAAAAATCAATTAGGGAAAAAAAAAAAAAAAAAAGCTTCATAGGGAGGTACAGATCAAGTGACCTCACCTGTCTTCTCCTTCCTATCTTGTATTTTCAGCACCTGGGCTCAAGGCCTCAAGTGCATGATTAGGTGATACCTTGATCTGAAGGCAGTAGATTCCTGTTGGACCAGTGCCACCAAGAGGTTACCTCCTCCTGGGTCTTTTGAATATGGTGGATTCTCAATTAAAAGGCAGACTCTTATTCCCATGTAGCCTTGCCACTCAAAGTCAGTATCAGCATCAGCCGAGAGCTGGTTAGAAACGCAAATCTCAGGCCCCATCCAGATCTACTGAAGCAGAACATTTTGCTCTGGCCAGTTTGGCTCAGCAGTTAGAGCATCAGCCTGCAGACCAGGGAGTCCTGGGTTCGATTCCGACCAAGGGCACATACATCAGTTGTGGTTCGTCCCTGGTCCCAGTTGGGGTCGTGCAGGTAGCAACCAGTCGATGTGTCTCTCTCGAATCAATGTTTCTCTCTCTCTCTCCCCCTCCCACTCTGTCTGAAGATAAAAATGTAAAATATCCTCAGGTGAAGATTAAAAAAACAAAACAAAAACATTTTTATAAGATCTTTTTGTAATTCACCTGTGTGTTTAAGTTTGAGAGATACTGCCCAACAGGGCTTAAAAACAACATCTGTACTGGCTGTCAACCATTATTCTGCCCCAAACAACCTGAGGGATCTGAAACACTAAATTCCTATAGGAATTAGAGATGCTTGTAACTTTACAACTGGGAAGAATGATGGGATGGTACCCTGCTTCCTGGGGAATTAATCTCCTCTTTTTCTTTCTTTTTTTTTTTTTTTTTGTGGTACGTGCCCCTAGCAGGAACCAAACCCAGGACTCTGGTCCACAGGCCAACGCTCAACCACTGAGCCAAACTGGCCAGGGCTCCTCTTTTTCTAACTTTCTCCCAAATCACATTCCTCAGAAACCCAAGGTGGGGATCCTATCTCTGGAACTTCTTTAGGTCAGACTGCCACTTAGATTCCCTAACACCTTAAAACCAATGACAGGGATTTTTTTGTAAAGTTAAATGAGATAATTCAAGTGAAAGTCTTAGCTCAACATCTGAGCACAAAAAGTATTCAGTAAGTGGTAACTGCTTTTATTATATTGTCCCTAAGTATTAGCTGTGAAAGATTCAAATCTGAGCAAGTCAGGGTTAGGAGTCTGGGATGGCAATACCACATGTGGCTTTTTAAATTTAATTAAAATTTTAAAAAATAAAAAATTCAGTCTTTCAGTCACATCAACCACATTTCAAGTGCTCAACTGTCACATGCAGCTAGAAGGGACCATAACAGCACAGATAAAAAACATTTCCCCATTACAGAAAGGAGCGTCAACTGGCCAATTCTGGTCTAGAGGGTCTCTGGAACAGCGAATGGCCCCCATGGAATCTGTTCTGCTTGGGTTGCAGGCTGTGAAGAGGGGCTTTCATGGGGGCAAAGGTTACCGTGATCTTTGCTAATAATGGGTGAGAATGGGAGGGTTGATGATTATCACCCTCAGAAATCAAACCTCTAACAAGGATTTCTTGTAACTCTAAGGGACTCAGAAAAATATAGAAAAGAGGCCCCAAATATAAAGAATTTCTAAACTTTATTCTTTTTATCTTCTGTCCTCTGGTAGTGATCAGTGGTCAATACTTTTTTTTTTTTTTTTTTAATTAATTTTTGTTACAGATGTTTCTCCCCCCCACCCATTGATTCCCCCCTCCCCCTCCCTCCCTGACAGTGGTCAATCTTTAGAAGCAAAAGGACCTATGAATTTAACTTTAGTTACAGCAAAGAAATGAAGGGGAAAGGGAGGGAATGGCCGGCAGCTATTTAAGGGGGAATACAGGTTGAGCCCTAGGGGCCCCCAGACCTGGCAGAAAAAAAAGCTCAGGTGTCAGCTGGGCATGAGAGGGGACCATCTGGCTGGACGAGAGAGAGGTCCATGTGCAGCTTCCAGCACACACTTGTGCATTCCTGCCTCAGCATTTGCTCACACCAGTTCCCTGCCTAAAATGCCTAACATTCTCTCTCTCTATTAAATCATGTAACAAAATTTTACTGAACGCCTATAAGTGCCAGAAGCGGTGAACACAAAGTGAGTCACAGACAGAAATGTAAATAGTCATTTAAGTGGTCTGGAATTTGACAATCTCCATTTGGGAAAAAAGGCAGAATTCATAAAAATAAATTCTAGATAATTTTTTAAGTATACAAATAAAACTAAAGAAATATTAGAAAAAATACAGAAGACATCAGGATCTGAGGTAGTAAGGACCTTCTTAAACAAGATAAAACACAAAAACCAGCCCTGGCCAGTTTGGCTCAACAGTTAGACCATCGACCCAAGGACTAAAGTGTAGCAGGTTCAATTCCCAGTCAAGGGCGTGTACCTGGGTTGCAGGTTCAATCCCTAGCCCCAGTTGGGATTGTACAGGAGGCAACTAAAAGATGTCTCTTTCTCACAATAATATTTCTCTTTCTTGCTCTCTTTCCCTCCCTTCCACTCTGAAAATCAATGGAAAAATATCCTCAGGTGAGGATTAAGCAAAAGAAAGAAAGAAAGGAAAGAAAGGAAGGAAGGGAAGGAAGGAAGGGAAGGAAGGAAGGGAAGGAAGGAAGGGAAGGAAGGGAAGGAAGGGAAGGAAGGGAGGAAGGAAGGAAGGAAGGAAGGAAGGAAGGAACCATAAGGGAAACACTGCTAATTTGCTAATTTGACCTCATCAAAATTTAGAATTTCTATCTAACAAAGGATATATCAAAGTTAAGATAAGCAACACAATGGCAATTTTTTCTCAAAATATATTCTGGGGACCTACTGGTGTGGCTCAGTGGTTGAGCGTCGACCATTGCACCTGGAAGTCACCAGTTTGATTCCCAGTCAGGGCACATGCCCAGGTTGTGGGCCAGATCCCCAGTGGGGGGCATACAGGAGGCAGCCAATTGATGTTCTCTCTCATCAATGTTTCTCTCTCTCTCTTCCTCTCCCTTCCTCTCTCTCTAAAAATCAATAAAGAAAAAAAGATATATATATATATATATATAGTTGTTTTTTTTTTCCTGGAGAAAATAGCCACAACATATAAAGAACTAAGATTCAGAATGTGTAACTTCAAATCATTCAGAAAAAGGATAAACTATATGCTACAAACATCTTACCTAATATTATGTTGCTGTTGTATTTTAATGAGGTCATTTTACTTGAACAGATGAGGAAGTCTTCAGGACATAATGCCAAATGGAAAAACAATGATGAACAATACAGTATGATGCCACTTAGGAAAAATAAAACCTCCCAAAATTAGACAGGCAAAGAAAAGGCCCCAATGGGTACACATGAAACTGATCAAGAAGTTACCTCTAGGGTGAGGTGAGGAGTGAGACTGGGACTGGGGGTGCCAAGGGGAGGAACTCATTGAACTATTTTGTGTGAAAATTTTTACAAGATTATTATATAATGTTATTTAATAACCAACCAAATGAAACATGTGAACCTTGACTGGACTTTTCCTAGAGCTATAAAAGTTACTTTGTGAATAACTGGGGGAGTTTGAACATGTATATTAGATATTATTGTGGTTATGTAGGATGTTCTTGTTTTTAGCAGTTCCTTGCTGAAGTATTTATGGGTAGTGCCAAGTCTTCAACTTTCAAATGAGAAAGAAATGAAGGTAGGTAGGAAGGAGAGCAGGAGAGGAGGAGAGGGAATGGGAATGTGAGAGGAGGGAAGAGGGAAAGAAAAACATGTCAAAGCAAAATGATAAAATAAGAAAGTTAATCACTGGTGAAAGGTATGAGTGTTGAATGCAGTACTCATTTTCCAACTTGGCTGCAGGTTTGAAAATGAGACAGGCAGAGAGAAAGAGAGGGAGAGATCACCACTATTCTAGCTGGAAGGGATCAATTTCTCTCTTAAATTCTATGACACTTAGCAATGTCACTCATATTACTAGTGATTGCCTCTCAGAATGTGTCTTATTTCCTACAAGCTCCTGAAAGGTGGAGGCATCTTTTAATTCTTTGTTCCCCTCTGCATGCCTAACACAGAGCAGGCAGTGGAAGAATGGGTAGGAGGTGAGGTTGAGAAATGTGTCACAATCACCTGTGAAGCTGGCAAATACAAAGTCAGGACCTGGAACTGCTCTATCAGTTCTGGTGAGAAGCATGACAGGCTGCTCAGGCTGACCCAGCAGGGAGTCACCCAGAGCTCGTGGCAGTTCTTTCTTTGTTAAGTACAAAGTGGTAGAAAAGTAAAGTGCCCTAATAACCCTTTCTCTTTTGACCCTTACAGTGACCCTAGGAAAGAGGTATTATCTCCATTTGACAGATGAGGAAACCAGTTCAGAGAAGGGAAATGACTTTTGCTAGGTCACCCAGAGAGGAAATGGGCTCAATCCCATGTCTTCAAGTCTAAAGTTCTCTCGGCTAGACCATGCTGCTTTCTTTGGGGTGACTGCTAACCAGGAAGAGAAAGACACTTACCCAATTCTGTCTTGCTCTGGGCTACATCTCCCCACACTGTGAGATCACCACAGGCAGCTTGGGCTTATTGTTGGGGCCTGTGGGAACATTCTAAGACAGAAAGCACAGTGGAGATTCATCCACTCAGACAGACACTCACCAAATATTTACTGATGTCTGCCAGCCCCTGTGCTAAGGACAGAGGGCTCATAGACTGATATGACAACAGTCCATGTCCTAGCAGATATGTAAAGCATATAATACAGATCAAAAATAAAATGTACATTTAAAAAATATCAAATTTATGATATATAACAATGTACTAAGTTATAAGAAAGTGTATACAGGGCAGAGGAAGCAACTAAACATTGCTTAAAGAGGTCAGGGAAGGATTCACAGAACAGGGGATCATTTGAGATGGACCAAGGACGATAAATGGGGAGGGAGAAAAGGAGGAAAGCGTTTCAGGTTGAGGAAACAGCATGAGCAAAGGCTCAGGGGCAGGAAGGAACAAGAGGCAGGGATATGTACAGCACATTTAGAGAAAAGCTAGTGGCCTGATGTGACTGGAAAGTGGAGGCAGCAGTGGTAGAAGGGGTCATGGAGAGGAAGGCAGGGACCAGGTTAGGGAGGATCTGGGATACAGTGCTGAGTAGGATTTTATCAAGTAGGTAAAGGGGCCACCACTGGCCAAAGCTCAATGTGCACTAAAGTAGCTAACTGTAGGCCCAAAACACTTGGGAGGCATGTGGTCTCTACTCAAGGAAGTCCATGTAATAGAGGCAATGAATGAAGACTGGGCCTAACAAACTGAAGCCCTCTCAGGATTCTCTAGCTTTCAACACTAGTCAGGTAGTACCAGACCAGAATGGTTGAGAAAGAGGAAATCAAAACAAACTCACCTCAATCTTTCTCATCACTAGAAGTCCATCAATGATTTTTCCTGTAGGAAGAGTATGAACTGGGAGTTACTATCTCATTTGTATAGCATTTTCCAGCTTCCAAAGCCCATTCTCACACCATTACCTCATTTGATCCTTATACCAATTTCAGGAAATTGAGATTCAATGGAGGTGAAATGACCTACCCAAAGTCACAGATAGCAAGTAGCAGAATTAGGGCTTAAACCTAGATCTGAGTGATTGCAAACCCCCACTGTACTAAGCTGCCTATGTCGTATTTCTTTTCTTTTTTTTTTATCCTCACCCGAGGACATTTTTCCATTTTTTTTTTCAGGTAGAGTGGGAGGGAGAGAAAGGAACAGAGAGAGAGAGAAACATCGACGTGAAAGGGACACAGCAAGTGGCTGCCACCCGCACGACCAACAAGGGCCGGGGACAAACTGCAACCGAGGAACATGCCCTTAGTGGGAACTGAACCCGGGTCTCTCTGGACTGCAGGCTGACACTCTAACCGCTGAGCCAAACCGGCCAGGGCTGTCATATTTCTTAAATGCTACCATCCTGGGTTGTTTCCCCCAGACATACATATCACCCAAGTGGTTATACACTTTATCAGATGGCCCCTTTGTCCTTCCACTCATCCTGCCCACCTCCCACTTTCACCTTCCCTACTACACAGAGCAGTTCAATTAGTTGAGCTCTCTTGGTATGACTGTGGATACTGGCTCCTTTGGAAGTCCCACTTCCGGTTAATGGGCCCAGGACCATGGAACAGGACTCACCAAACACTACGTGCTTCCCATCCAGCCAATCACATTTAGAGCAGGTGATGAAGAACTGGCAGCCGTTTGTACTGGGACCACTGTTTGCCTGATGGAAACCAAATATACTTGCAGTGAGTTTTCTTGGCCATGCTAGCTGAAGGGCAAGATTCCCCGAAGAGCCTGTGGCCCTGATTCCTCCATGCTTTTTTCAGCAAAACTTATTGAGCATTTATGAACCAGAGCCAGAGCCTGAGGTAGGATACAGAGGGGAACAGGACACACAATCTCTGTCCTCACGGAACTAGATCCTTGAATAATGTACATTTCTCCTATAGAGTGAATTTCTATAATGGCAACAACTGTTTATGGGATCTGATTTGGTGCATTTAGTCCAATACTAGTTATAACTGAATTATAGTTACAAATTAGCTACTGGGGAGAAAAGGTCTATTGCCTATGCCATTACCTGTTTTGTCTGAATGGTTTTGTACTACAACAATGGTAATTTAAAAAATGTAGGAAGGTGCAATAAGCTGCTAGTGCTATGCTAGAAAAAAGACTACAGTTAATCAAAGATGTTTGCTTTTTACCAGTACACCCCAAATTGTTTATTATTGAATTTTATGGAAAAGCTATTTTTTAAAATAGAGAACCTGAAACTCTCTGGCCATATCCCTTCTGTTTCCCCTCCTTAAAATTGTTTTTACATCATTATGTTTAATAACACATTATAAAACAGATTATAATTACAATGCAGAGTAATACTTTGTAAAGAGACATTTGACTTTCACATGAAGTGTACTTTTGTCCATTATATATGGATGCCCTCAAACCATCTTTAATATGTTAAATTCAGACTTGTGTATAAGAGCAAACTCCAGTTAAGTTTCTGCAGCACTGTCTTACAACAATGTCTGCATAACTATGAATATATTATGGCATACTTCCCTTATTTTGGAAAAAAAGGAGTAGAAATAGAAAATTGAAAGTACTAGTACTATTAAAAGCACAAGTCTCATAAAACCACTACTCTGCAAAACTGGAAATTATTAGATAACTAGCCTAAATCAGATATTAGATTTAAATTGGTTGACTCTGTTCAACTGTGAAGGAATAAAAATGTTTCTGAAATACTAAAAATATATTAAAGACACTGTCTAAGGGTAAGCTCTAATTAGGGATTTCATATTATACTTTAGAAATTCCCCATGTGAGATGAGGCTACTTTTGTTTTTCATACATGTATTGAGGAACATCTCATATATGAAAGTAAGGCACTGTCTGGGCCAGAGTAGGCCTACACTTTGGAATGAGGATAGGCTTCCCAGGGGTCCCAATTCACTCATATTCTTTCTCTCTGTTTCTCTGTCTCTCTCTCTTCAACCAACCATCCATCCATCCATCCATCCATCCATCCAATCTATTTTGCTGCTCTATGAGTAAATATTTATTAGCAAGCAGGCAGGAAAACAGTCATACGACATGTTCTGATGGCTCAGGGGACACTCTGCTGTTAGCCACTTCTTTTTTTCATTCTGCAAGGCAGTATAACTTGCTGGTTTAGAGAATCAGCTCTGGAGCTCTGCAGCCAGATGGCCTAGCTTGAATTCCAGCTCTACCACTGACTGTGACCTTAGTTTAGTCACATAACCTCTGTGTCTGTTTCCTCTTCTGTACCTATCTTAGAGATGTTGAGAAAATTAAAACAAATTAATGCAAATAAGATGCTTGTTGAATAAGTATTCAATAATGTTAGCCATTATTTTGACTATCTTCCACTCTTTCATCAATATCTGCTCAACACCTTTCTGTATCAGGTAGAAGGCTCAGAGATCAATGAGACCCAATCCCTGTCCTTGAGGAACTCATGATTTAGTGGAAGACAGAAGCAAAAACAATTATGCTACAAAATATATGGCAGCACAGCTCAACCAGTGTAAGCCTGAAGTGTGCGGAGACCAAGCTTTCCTTCCACTTTTCTGGCTCCTCCATAGATGCTAACACAGCGGCATACATTTAGAGGGGTTCTAATCCTGGCGAAGATCCAAGCCAGCTCAAGCCACTTCTCCACCCTTTACCTGCACATTCCCAGCCTGGCTTTCCTAAAAGGGCGCTTATACATACACTGCTTGCTGTGCTAGGCTTGCTCAATTATAATGGCAGCCTCCTGACTTCTCTGCTCCGGCCTCTCCATTCTCACCCACCACTCACATTGCAGCTAGGGTTTTTGTTCTAAAACACAAAGTTGATCAACTCTCCTCAAAAGAGTGTATGGCTCACTATAACCTATGAAAGAAAGTCCACACACCTCATCCTTATTCTGCCATTTGAGGCCCGTCAGGAGCCAGACAGCCTGTCTCTGCAGTGGTCTCTACTGGCCACTCTGTCTACCATTCGCATCCCATGTACTTAGCACCTTCCTTCCTTTCTGGCCCGCGACTGACTGTGTCTCACACTATCTGGCAAGAACTCTTTTAAGAACTCAAATGTCCCCTCCTCTGGGAAGCAACCTTGTCCAACCCCCAGCAGCAATTTATTCTTTTTCCTTGGCACCCTCATGGATTTTTACACAGTAAGGTGCCCTTACCTTAATACACTGGTAGCAGGAATTACACTATACTAGACTAGTCATTTTGCATGTGCGATCCCCCATTAGACGTTAAGTGACACAAGAGCAGGGACCATGAAGCCTGGAATAGAGTGGATATCAACACATCTTTCCTTGATGACTGCCTGAGTAGCAGTGGTCAAGTGGGCAAGCAGGTCAGAGAATGTGCAAGTAAATATTGAGTCTGGGGGACAGAGAGTTGGGGCACTGACAGAGGGAAAAGGGTGATGAGCAGGAGGGAGGGAGAAGGCTGGAGAGTGAGAGAGAAGTAAGGTGGGAAGGGTAGGGGAAAAGGTGCCGTGAGGAATGAATAAGGGGAAGTGACGGGGGAATGAGCATGGAGTGAGCAGGGGCAGGGTAGATGAGGGGTTTTCAGTGAGGTGGGCAGAGGGACTGTGAAAGAGGAGTGACATGTGTGAGTGTGAGTTGTAAGTGGGGTGGGGGGTGCCAGGACAAGGGAGTAGGAGTGGTGATCAAGGAGTGGTACGCGAACAAAAGGGGGTAACTAGCCAGTAGGCAGTGTGGGTGAATGGCGCTGAGAGTCTTGGCGAGCTAAGCAATGAGCAAGTGAACAATGGATCTTGAAAGCAGGACTGGATGTATTCTGAGCAATAAGGCTAAATGCCTGCCACATGTCTCGGCTCAAACAAAAGAAAGAAAACAACATAGCAGAGTTCAGTTTTAGTTCCCCAGCCCAACAAAATAAAACCAGGCTGAAGAAAAAGGAAGGCATGACAGAGGGGAGTCCTGGGCTGAGTAAGAGAAGAAAAGCATTTGCTTCCATCCGAAGAGACAGCAGTGAACCTCAAGAGGGGCCCAGAAACCAACTGGCTGTAAATCTTACCCAAAATCTTGATTGGACCTCACTTACCATGGAAAGCAGGCCTGGAGCTGAGTGTCTAAGTTTAAAATTTTCATCTGCAAATGGCCCCCGGTAAATACTGGCAACTCCAGTACCATCTCCCTGAGCAGAAAGAAGTGTTAGCAACGTGCAGGTGTGGGCCCCTAGAGGCTGGAGAAGACAGCTGCTGCACTGAGAGCCCAGCTTCCTTAAAGTCCACTCTGATTGGTGGCTTTGGGAGCCACACCTCTTTGACCCTATCTTGCAATTAAAGCAAGCCCCATGCAAGGCACCTGGAGCCCACAAACTGGCCAGGTCTTCTCAAAGATTGGGTAAAAGAGGTCACAGCTGGGCCTCTAGAAAGATGGGTTAAGACCCAGGCAAAGTAGAGAACAGTACAGTGACCACATACATAATCCTTGCTATTCCCAGATTCTCATATAAAAGTACCCACCTGACTGACTACTACTACCCCACCCCACCTCCCAAACTATGTAGGTGGGTGGGCTCTTGGAAGTCTAGTGTGTACAACACCATACCACCCTCCTGGCCAAAGTTGATTGGTCTAGGGGAGGACTCTAATTTCCCAATAAACCTAGGCAACAGATCAGTTAGCACATCATTCTCTGTAACTGCACTATGGATTGCTCTCCAGAAGCCAGAGTAGGGAAAATTACAAAATTAATTTTCAGAGCAAACAACAGTAGACTGATCAAATAAATTCACTGTCTATTCATTATGGACTATTAGGTAGCTATTAGAAACATTTTTTTGGAAGAAGACTTAATGACAAGGGAAAATGCAGACAATTATTAAGTACAAAAAAATTAAAACATATCTATGATCTAAGTCTGTTAAAAATTTTATTTGACACACATACATTTGTAAAAATAAGACTGGCAGCTGTAAACTACAATGATAAGAGTTTATTCCTTGAGAGATGACTTATTTTACTTTTTGCACTTTTCTTTTACAACCAAAAAGAAAAACAAATATTAAAACAAACAAATATTCTTGGTCCAACTTTTCAAATCTTGCTTCTTCCTCTTGATCATTCTATTTTTAATTCTCTAAGGGTGGCTCTGAACAATTGCTCCTCTCTGATACTCAGCCTAATGGCTGACCAACTACTGTCTAATCCTGGGGTTATCAGCAAGTAATTGGATGCTCCTAGCAATGACCAGTAAGAAAATGGTCCTGTCCCTGCTGAGTCAGTATGGCAATATAGGAGCCTATGGGAAAAAAGGAAAGAAGGCAGAGACTAGCTTCTCAGCACTTTTTGCCAGCTAACAAAAAAGTATATGCTCACCCCAAGACCTACTACCAGTAGTGGCCAAGGGTTGCAAACTTAATTGCCTGTGAGGCAGGTGACATAAATAAGGGAAGCAGGTGGTGGGGACTAGGGTGAAATAGCAAGGACACACCTTGTCTAAAAGGAGGAGTTATTTGATTCCAACCAATTGTCACTCCATGAGAAACACAGGCCTAGTGCACCCCTATTTCCCATTCTTTTTTTTTTTTTTAATCCTCACCGGAGGACATTTTTCCATTTTTTGTTTAGGTAGAGTGGGAGGGAGAGAGAGGAACAGAGAGAGAGAGAAACATCGACGTGAAAGGGACACATCGAGTGGCTGCCACCCGCACAACCGACCAGGGCCGGGGACAAACTGCAACCGAGGTACATGCCCTTAGCGGGAACCGAACCCGGGTCTCTCAGGACCGCAGGCCGACGCTCTAACCGCTGAGCCAAACCGGCCAGGGCCTATTTCCCATTCTTTAGAAAGAAAATAAAACTACAGAATTTTTTAGTGAACTATACCAGTTTTACAACATCATACAAATGAAACAAAACATATCTGAAAGCCTGATTTGCCCTAAAATCTGCCACTCAGTAATCTTACCTAAATAGTAAAGAGAAAGATCTTTAAAAACTCATAAGCGTCAATAAGTAAGTATATGTGTGAAAGAGAAAGAATGTCTCCCAGATCCAAGAAAATAGCAACATGGCTACCTAAATGATACTAATAAGAAAGACCACGTATAGAGTGGGCGGGTAAGAACAAAAGTAAGTTTAAGGAAAAAAAAAGGCCCTGGCCAGTGTGGCTCAGTTCATTGATCCCATGCACCAGGAAGTTGCTGGTTTGACTCCCGGTCAGGGCACATGCCCAGTTATGGGCTCAGTCCCTAGTGCATGGCGTGCAGGAGGTAGCCGATTGATGTTTTTCTTTCACATCAAGGTTGTTTTTCACATCTCTCTCTCTCTCTCCCCCTTCTTCTCTAAAATCAATAAAACCATATTTAAAAAAGAAAGAAAGAAAAAATGTGGTTTATTCAGCAGCCTCTAAGGTCAGAAGGGTAGAAGACTCAGTATGTAGAAAACATACAGACTTTCACAAGAAAGTCATGCTTAATAGTGAAGGACTATTCCACTGGGCTCTCCCAGTGAATAGAGGAAACATTCCTCCAAAATACCTCTCTTGCTGATTCCTTATCCATTAAACAACTTCTGATTAAAAACTCAGCTTTCTAGCCCTAGCCGGTTTGGCTCAGCGGTTAGAGTGTCGGCCTGCGGTCCAGAGAGACCCGGGTTTGGTTCCCACTAAGGGCACGTACCTCCATTGCAGTTTGTCCCCGGCCCTGGTTGGGTCATGTAGGTGGCAACCACTCGATGTGTCCCTTTCACGTTGATGTATCTCTCTCTCTCTCTCTCTCCCCCTTTCACTCTATCTGAACAAAATATCGAAAAGTGTCCTCGAGTGAAGATAAAAAATAAATAAATAAATAAAAACTCAGCTTTCTAGGCACTGTGATACCAGAAGTGGAAGGGAAAATGGGGCATAAACATTTAGCTCACTGGAAAGGGGCTAAATTTAGTTAAAACAAATTGCATCTGATGTTTAGTTAAGTTTCATGTAACGAATTAATTTGGATCTGTCATGGATCTTCTATAGGTATGCTGGCAAAGTTCAGTTTCTGGCCCTAAAAGGCTGAGATTTGGAAGTTAGTGACTCAAAGTGCTGTTGTCTGTCAACTAGCGGTACAGTGAGTAGTAGCTATTAACATTCAAGGGCATTCCCATCCTCCTCCCTTACCCCCATCAAGCCTGGCTATTGTTCTCAAGCTTTAAGATTAGGTTCCTGTAGTAAAAATAGTAGTTGCAGCAATAACAACAACAAAAAGCTTACAAGTTTTTGACGGAAAAGGAACAGTACTTACGTTGACAAAATCTCCACCCTGAATCATGAAATCCTTTATGACCCTGAAACAGAGAACAAAAGATTCTGAGATAAGACTCCAGTTTAGAAAAACATTGATTTAATCACTGTAGTTTAAATTAATCAATCCTTGAGTTCACAAAAACATTCCTTCTCAAGATCTAAGAATTTGCCCAGCTGGTGTCACTCAGTGGTTGAGCATCGACCCATGCACCAAGAGGTCAATGGTTCGATTCCCGGTCAGGGGGCGTGCAGGAGGTGGCCAATCGATGTTCTCTCTTATCAATGTTTCTATCTCTCTCTCCCTCTTCCTCTCTCTCTAAAACCAATAAAGAAAAAAGAAAAAAAAAATCTAAGAATTATCCTTTGGTTTTCTTTTCCTAGAGACTATAATTCCCCAAGGAAGTAATTCAAAAAGCCCCCAGGACGGTTTGCCATGGCCCTTACCTGTGGAAAGTGCTTCCTTTGTATCCTATAGGAACTCCATCTTTTCTATAACCAAAAAGAAAGAGATTTGGAATGATGACAGGTAACCATAGGCCTTTCCAGTTTACTACACATTCAAGCCAAAGGGACTCTCCTAAAGATATTCAGCACAAGAGAGAGAAAGAAAGCAAATGAACTGAAGATAGACCCTGGGGGTATTACCTTCTATTACTCCAGCAATCATTCAAGGTCTACTGGTTCCCCAATACCCTCACTGCAGCCCCAGGACACACCTCAGGAGCAAGCAGGTAAGTCAACCACGTCTGAGACTGACCTGAATTCTCCAGTGCAGAACTGCCTGAAAGGTAAAAGAGTGAAGAACTCAGCAACCACGACATCACAGTGTCACCAGCAAGCCCACCAACCGGCCAGCCAGACGTCCAGACACCCAGGCATACAGATTAACATCATAAACTGACATGGGACAGTCAAAACGAAGACTGTTCAGAGGACTCAGATCTTAAGGGCAGTGAGGGGACCGACGGAGGTAGGCAGACGATTCCGTAGGCTGGGTTCTGGTTCGGTTTCTCCGGCAGAGCTGGAGTATATTCTTACCTAAAGTTCTCGGCTGTCTTGGGCACAACGTCTGCAAAGAGCTCGATCTTCATACGGCCAACTTCCTGCAACCGGCGGAGACGGTCAGAAGGCTGAGTTCAGGAACGTGAAGGCCTCACCGAGCAAGGACCATGAAGGGCTGTTCCCTCCCTCCCCCATGCGCCTGGCCTCCCCCATCTCCGCCGCCTCAGCCTATCTTTTCGTTCCGCCCACACCTTCCACACGCGGGGTGCTAGGATGGGCGCGAGGAGAGGCAAGACTCCTCATCCCAGTCCCCTCACCACGCCCCGCAGCTCGGTAGGTTCTGCTCCAAATCAACTTTCTGGCTTCCCGAGCCCGCTATCCTTCGGCGGATGAGTTCTGCCTGCCTGGACCGGTGCAGTTTCCTTTCGGCGAAGGGCTGGGTGCCTTCCTGGACCTCACCTGGCCGCCAATGCTGACATCAAAGAACACCACGGGGTTGACAGGACTTGAATTTGCCACCGCCATGGCTCCGACCCGGAAGCAGAAGTCGGGAGCACGGACTTCCGGCGAACCTAACCCCAGCTCCACGAGTCCGGTGTCCCGCGCAAGCGCCGGAAGAGCTAGCCGAGACTGGGCCCACCCCCGGGAGCCCCACCCTGCCCCGCCCCGCCCTGCCCCGCCCCGCCCTCGCCGCGGAGGGCTCCTTGGTTCTCGCGCGGAACTGCGTGATGCTGCAGTGGCCAGCGGTTCATTCGGTCCTGACCGCGAGACATCCGTCAGCTCTTAGTTCGCTTGACTTTGCGCGGAGCCGGGGATGTCCAACCGGGCGAGGAGGGAGGGGAACGCGGGTGCAGGTGGAGGAGGTAGGGAAGAGGAGGAACGCCCAGGCTGTTTTTTGCCCAGTCAACGGGCATCCCACTCACATGGCTACACTCAAATGAAGTTGAGATTATTCTCGCTCAGGCTAGGGAGGTAGACTAGGCAGTCTCCGGGGTCCTTATCAGCTCTTGCAGCCAAAATATCTGAATCATCACACGTGCTGCTCCTTATTCCTGCCCACTACTCGATAGGTCCCAGGAAAGAAGGAACTCTTCATCCTTAGCGCTTAGAACAGCCAAGGGAGTGAGGTGTGCTTAGCAAATACTTAGCCCTTCCTTTAAATCAGTAAACTAGAATTTTTGTTCCGGTTCTTCCACAAGCTTCCATTTTTATCACTTCCAACTCATTTCCAGTAGAGTAGCTAGAGCTTTTAAAATAAGTCCACTTATGCTCTGGCTGGTGTGTTCAGTGGTTAGAGTAGGCCCACAGACCAAGGGTCGCTGGTTCAATTTCCAGTCAAGGGCATGTACTTGGGTTGCAGGCTCGATCCTTGGCCCTAGTCAGGGTCATACAAAAGGCAGCCAGTCAATGTGTGTCTCTCCCTCTCTCCCTCCCTCCCACTCTGTCTTAAAAAAAGTCAATGGAAAAATATCCTTGGGTGAGGATTAATAAAAACAATAAAAAGACTGCTTATAAATCACTCCTGGCTTCCTGTATTTAAAATAAAATCCAGCCTGGCTGGTGTGGCTCAGTGGTTGAGCATTGACCCATGCACCAAGAGGTCGCCAGTTCCATTCCCAGTCAGGGCACATGCCCATGTTGTGGGCCCAGTCCCCAGTGGGGGGCATGCAGGAGGCCGCCAATCATTGTTTTCTCTCATCGATGTTTCTCTCTTTCCCTCTCCCTTCCTCTCTCTAAAATCAATAAAGAAAAATGATTTTAAAAATAATGAATAAAATCCAATTCCTTACATACAAAGGCTTACATTACATTATCTGGCTGCCATCTACTTGGCTTCATCTTGTATTACTTGTCCTCAGTTACTATACTCTGGCTTTTCTGTTCCTCAGGGTCATGGTGGATATAGTAGTTCCCCGCTTATCTGAGTTTTCACCTTTCTCCTTTCAGTTATCTGCTATTAACCACAGTCTGACAGTTGATCTAATAACCAAGACACCTATTAAGTGATTAATAGGCAGGCAGCATATACAGCATGAATATTAATTTATATTAAAATAAAAATAGCACGTGAAAAATTCCAGAAATAAGCAATTCATAAGTTTTTGGGTTTTTTTTATCCTTACCTGAGGACTTTTTTTTTTTTTTTTGCATTTATCTTCAGATAGGGGGGGAGGGAAAGAGGAAGGAAGAGAGAAACATCGATGTGAGAGAGACATATCGACTGCCACACACACACAACCCCAACCAAGGCTGGGCACAATCTGCAACCAAGGTACGAGCCCTTAGCGGGAGCTGAACCTGGGACTCTCTGGTCTGTGGGCCAATGTTCTAATGGCTGAGCCAAACTGGCTAAGGCAGCAATTCTTAAGTTTTAAATTGCATGCTCAGGATGTGAATCATGCCTTTGTCCAGCATCTTCACAATGTATATGCTACCTGCCCATTAGTCACTTAGGTGTCTTAGTTATCGGATCAACTGTCAGGGTATCACAGTGCTTGTGTTCATTCACCCTATTTAATCTCATCATGTAGGCACTGGATCATCTCGCATCATCACAAGAAGGGTGAAATATTTTGAAACTACATTCATATAACTTATTACAGTATATTGTTATAATTCTATTTTATTATTACTGTTAACCTCTTACTGTGCCTAATTTATCAATTACTTATCATAGGTATGTATTCTAAGAAAACAGTACATTCAGGGTTAGGTACCATTCATGGTTTTGGGCATCCACTGAGGGTTTTGGAACATATTCTTAGAAAAGAAGGACTACTGTACTCTCTCAAGGGCCTTGGTACTAGCTGTTAACTGTCTTTAATACTCTTCTAGATCTTAATGGGGGCGGGGAGTGCTCCCTATAGTTCAGGTCTCAGAGCGAACAGTGCACCCAATCTAAAGTAGCCCCAGTCACTTATTCAGACACATCAGTGATTTATTTTCTTCATGCCACTTACCAACCAAAATTATAAGGTCAGTCTCTCTATCTCACCCCTGCCACAAAACATATACCTTCTAATAGCATATTAACTATGAAAGCAGACACTCTTCTTATCTGTCTTCACAGGTGTGGCTACAGTGTCTACTATTGAATAGCACATAGTAGGGATTCAAAAAATGAATTCAATTAATTGAGTGAAAGAAGGTGAACGTGGGCAAGGTTTGGAGTCAGAGCATGCATTCGGTGTCATAGCTATTATGTCCTATATTCTTTGATCATCCTTTTTAGAGGTGATCTGAAGAGGCTGGGGTTGCACATAAAAATTCAGTATGTCTCAACTTATGGTCTCTTTTATTTCTTTCCTTTTTCCCCTCTCCTCTTGATCTCCCTTCCTATCTGCAGTTGAAGATGAAGAAGGAAGAGAAGGAGAATAAGGATGGAAAAGGGGAGGAATGGAAGAAGGAGCAGCAGGAATCACTCTTCAGTATAGTTTTACACCAACTATTTTAGAATAAATTTTTAATTGACAATATCCAATGTTGATGAGACTGTAGAAAAACAAATACACTCAAACTGCAAATGAAGATATCTAGCATTTATTAAGCAGCCACTCAATGAAAAATATACACTTCATTTCATTTGGTCCTCATAACCCTGTGGGATAGGAATTAGTATTGTTTCCATTTTATGCATCAAGAAATTGAGGCTTAAAGAGGTTGACTGTAGAAATAGTATATTGATATAAACTTTCTTTAAAGCAATGAGACAAGTGATGTACCAAAACTATATAACATTTATATCTTTTGACCCAATTATGTCAATCTTGTGATTTGTTTTCTGGATTAACTTAAGAGAAGAAAAGAGCTAACTTCACAAAGACTTTCATTGCAGCATAGTTTTTAAATAATGAAAAAGTATTAAATACTGAAAATGTGGATGTTGAATAAGAAAATTTATAGAACATCAACATGAGAATATCACATGGCTATTAAAATAATAATTAGGAAGTGTTTAAATATGGAGACTATTTTATGGTATATTAAATTAAAAACCAGACTATGAAATACAATATAATAACCATTTCAAATATATGAATTTGAATAAGAACTAAAAGGGAATAACTCCCCCCAAAAAAGTAGTAGTGTTAAGAATGTGGGATTTATAAAAGGGATTTCTTTTTCTTTTTAAAATACTTGCTTTAAAGTGATTACAATGTTTTTACTTTTTAAACAATAAGAAAATACCCATGAAAATAGGAACTAATGCTGAATTAGCCATATATATGTGTGTGTGTGTTCTGCTGAACAGAAACCTAATTAAACCATCCAACTTAATTTACTATATTGATCAGTACAAGGCATTTGAGGATATCAAACAAACTTGAAAAATCAATTTTTAGAACTGGTTTAATGAATTTATCAGCAATTTTGAAGACTCTTGGTTGATGTCCAGTGGGGAATTCATAACTTCTCCATGTCATCTTCTACCTTCACACCCAAGCTTTAAGTTAGCAGCTTTGATCAGTCTAGTTTTAGTCTGATTGTATAGTCTGACTTCTGGTCTGGTTCTTACATGTGATGTGTTTCTTTTAGAGAAGCCACATTTTATGTGTGTATCCAGCTTCAGATTCTGTGAACAGGAAAGAGACTCCAGGGACTTGGGATTTGCCACTGCTTCTTCTGATTTACGTTCTTTAGTCTCTTAAAGACTTCCAACTGATTCTACCAAGCCTGTTACAGAAAAACTAAAAAGGCCACGTGTGAGGACTTCGTGTGGATGGCATCTCTTGGCAGCATTTTGGGGTTATAGGGATAAGGCTTCAATAGGATTTCAGTTTTGACAACTGTCAAACACAAAGACAGCCAAGTAAAATTACCTTACATTTATGTGTATTATCTTCTGCCATGAGTCAGGATTCTGTCAGCTGTGGGGGTGAAGCAGGGGTGAAGGGAGGAGCTGGAAGATTTAAATACTATATAGAGAAAAGTATCCCTGAATGCTATGCTTTCTCAAGCCAGCAACTCACAACTGGTTAGGCAGCGTGAGTTTCAGTCATATAGAAGATTGTCTTGACTTTACTAACCTGGAGTTTGATAGGGGCAAAATTTTATTCAATACTTCATATTTAGAGGTGCTGCTAAATATTGTTTCCTAAAAAGAAAGAAAGCATGAATTTAAAAATTGTAATGATAAACCATTGGCACTATGGTCCTAGAGCTATGCCATATATATATATATGTATTTTTTTTTTTTATCCTCACCCAAGGACATTTTTTGTTCAGATTGAGTGGGAGGGAGAGAGAGGGAGGGAGAGAGAGAGAGAGAGGGAGAGAGAGAGAGAGAGAGAGAGAGAGAGAGAGAGAGAGAGAGAGAGAGAAACATCGACGTGAAAGGGACACATCAAGTGGCTACCACCCGCATGACCAACCAGGGCCGGGAACAAACTGCAACAGAGGTACATGCCCTTAGCGGGAACCGAACCCGGGTCTCTGAACCGCAGGCCGATGCTCTAACCACTGAGCCAAACTGGCCAGGGATATATATGTTTTTTGTTGTTGTTGTTGTTGTTGTTGTTAAAAATGTAATCCCCTTACCTCATACCTGTGAGAAAGACTTATAAAAAAGACAGGAGGTAATAAATGCTGGTGAGGATAAAGAGAAAAGGGAACCCTTGTGCACTATTGGTGGGAATATAAATTGGTGCAGCTACTATGGAAAACAGTATGGAGGTTCCTCAAGAAATTAAAAATAGAGCTAGATGATCCAGCAATTCCACTTCTGGGTATTTATCCAAAGGAAACAAAATCACTATCCTGAAGACATACTTGCACCTCATGTTCATTGCAGCATTAGTTATAATAGCCAAGACATGGAAGCAACCCAAGCATCCATTATGGATGAATGGATAAGGAAATTGTTATTATTCAGCCATAATAAAGAAGGAAATCCTGCCATTTGTGACAACATGGATAGACCTTAAGGACATGATGCTAAGTGGAATAAGTCAAACAGAGAAAGACAAATACCACATGATCTCACTTATATGTGGAATTTAAAAAAACAAACTCATAGGAACAGATAAGATCCATGGTTGCTAGAGGCAGGGGGTGGGGGAATAAGGCGAAGATGGTCAAAAGGTAATACTTCCAATTATAAGATAAATACATTCTGGGGATGTAATGTACAACACGATGACTATAGTTAACAATACTATATATTTGTATATCTGAAAGTTGTTAAGAGAGTAGATCTTAAGGTTTTCATGACTAGGAAAAAATGGTAAGTATCCTGGGAAGAAACATCTAGCATGTGATATAAGCCAGGGAAGAAAACAAGCAACCTCTATTCTGGATTTAAAATGAAACTCAGCTCACTGAAGTTCCTCTTGTTGACTTGCTCACTAACCAGACTCTGGACCTTGTCTGAACCTATACTTCTTGTCTGCTTGGGTTTTTGTAACATAATTGCTTTTTTCTGACTCAGATGTTCTCTCTAGGCTTGACTTCTTGCCAGACAAGACTAGCTTCCCTATATCTCCCTCAACCTCAGATTTGCTCCTCTCTCAGATTGGGCTGGAATAATCACATGGTAAACAGGGTTGTTGAGAATGGGGTACAAATGTGCAAACATTTAACAGTCATTCATTCTCAAATATTTGTGGAGCACCCATGCATAGATACAGTGACATATGAGATACAATCCTTGATCCAAAATCTCAGCACTGAGTGGATGAGATAGCGAAGTAAAAAGGCAATGGTAATATCGTGTTAAGGAAGAAGTTATGAGCACACAGATTGCTTTGGGACCACACAGAAGGAGAATGTTTACTAAAAGCTGACCCAATGAAGAGCAAAGCTGTCCAAAAGCAGATTCAGGGTCTGCTGTCCTGGTGTGCAGCCAATGAGTCTCTTTGTCACAACCCACCATGAAGACAAGTTAAGGCTACAACAATATGAAGAAGATGGAGGGAAGAGAGAACAGAGCAACCTTAACAACCTAAATGTCATATTAAACACCTACCAGGAAGCACACATCTTACCTGTCCTCGGAAAATCTGGATGCTTCTTATAACGCGTTTTAAGAGGCCAACCTGCTCTGTGAGCTGGAGTCTGTTTTCCTGTAACTGCTTATTTTCTTTATCCAGGAAAAATACTCTAAGAATGGGATAAATCAGAGGCATAACTAAAATGTACATCGTTACTAAAAACTAAAAACTACGTCCCACTTCCCACTAGCTCTGGGTCTTAGCCCATTGTCCAGATTTTAGAACAAACTTTGGCAGACCAAGTGAAAATTCATAAGCTTTAGGCCTGTGCATAGTCATCCAATACCTACTGAGAGCAGGGACATACTATGTGCAAGAGAATGAAAGGCATAGTTCTAGCCCTTGAATCATTTAAGGAAGGATATGATCGCATTTAGGAATGGAACTGATAAAAGAGACTGCATCCCTTCAAAGAAAGTAACTGCCCAGCCTACATCTGGTCTATCTCCCACAGTCATCCCATACATCAGCAGCAGCAGCAACCATTCATTCGCGTACTTCCCATGTACTTAGGCACTACAACCTATCCACACAGAAAGCACTTCAAACTTTGCATGTATCAGCTCATTTAATCCTCACAACAACACTGTGAAATAGTGTCATGAAGCCTATTTCACAGGTGAGGCAACTGAAGCTCAGAGAGGGGACACTAACTTGTGTAAGAGGATAAACCAGAAAGTGGCAGAGCTGGGATGCCAGCCCAGAACTTTCAGACCTCTAAAGCCTGAGCTCCTGACCGCTACCCCAGGCCCGCTCTCCAGGGCTACAGTTTACACAGACACATGACAGGACAATAGTTTTGAGCAGAGGTTTGTATTTGAATGCTGCCACTTACTAGCTGTGTCACCTTGGCAAATTATTAAATCTGAGCCTCAGTTTCCCCATCTGTAAAACGAGGAACCATCCTGTAGAAGAAATTTACTCTAAGTCAAATCCAGGTGACCAGAGTGTGCCTTCAGGAGGGCAAGACAGGAACATTACTAACGTGAAGGCAAGGGTAATGAGTCAGTTGTGCTGAGGCTGTCAGAGCAATGACGTCGTTTGAGAAGGGCAATAAATGATACAGAATATAGAGGGGAGACACAGATCGTAAAACATAATCAGAGATTCTCCAGGCCTGCCTGGAGGAGCAGGTACCCAAATCAGTGGGAAGTGCCAGTCTGCCTGGCAGATCTCCCAGACTGCAGTGCAATGGGGTCTAGCTAGCATCAGGCTGCTGAGGTTCACATGCTGCCCTGCCACTACCTAGGCTGGTGAGTTCCCTGACCAATCTGGACCTCAGCTGCTCACTCATAAAATAAGGCTGTAATAGTGTCTTCCTCCTGGGATTGGTGTGAAAATTAAATAAATATATTTAGAGAGAGTTTAGAACAGTGCCTCGCATATAGTAAGTGCTCCAAAAAGTGTTAATTGCTATAGGTATTATTGGTGATACTGTCTGTTAAGATCAACCCACTCTCTGCTCTAAGTCTGTGCTCTGAAAAAACTTTTCATTGCAATGAAAGTTTTCCTATAAGAGAATGCTTGGGCTGGCTGATATGTGAATCCTTAACCTGTTGGGAATATTCTCCTTACAAATTAATACACTGGTAATCCTGTGGGTTTCGAGAATTTCAGTTACTAGAATAAACCGAAAGAGCCTACTTCTCTCTTGGTTTACCTTGATTCTGTAGGTATCAAATGATAAAAATGAGTGTCAGCACACACAAAGTAATAGGCCAGAATGAGCATGGCTGGGTTCTCAAGGAGGCAATGCCACCATTAAAGAGCCTACCTGAATGGCCAGCTCTCCTTCTCCATGATATTTTTCTCTTTAATTTCACAACTTCTGCTACTTGTATGAACTGCTGAAAACAGCAGATGGCAGAGCAACAGTCGTGAGACAGGCCGCAAGCTCAAAGGACACTCTCAGGAAACATCTCTGTTGAGGGGAAGACACCTCATTTGGAGCTCACTGGCAATTCGAGCAGGACCACACCTACCTGTGCTGCACAGAAGATATTGTGCATCTGTTGTCTTCGATCAATTTTTCTTGCTCCGTGAGTTGCTCCAGAAGTTTCCGATTTTCTAGGAGCAAGTTATTATTTTGGGCAAGGATCTGGTCCTGGAATGCCTTCTCCTAGAATAAGAGCAAAAGCACCCTAATTACCTCAGCAGGAGAAATGATAAATTTAAGAACATCAGCCTGTTTATAACTCCGATGGCAAATTTCCCTTATTTATTTTTTCTTTCCTGAGGTCATGCTGTTTTCACTTGTTTGCTGACATTGTCAGCTAGATTGTCCTTCTATATATTTTAGCTACTATGTCATGTATTTTGTTTGGATATTTACTCATGCTTTTAGGTTAATATTTTAAAATATCTGAGCACTCAACTTCTAATAAGATCCCAATAATCTCATCCATACTCCAACTCCATTTATATCAAATCACAAATACATAAAATTGAATTCTCTGAAGCCCCAGGCTAAAAATCATTTCCAGATAACACATTTCCATATGCTTTTATATGTAATTATATTCTTTTTAAGGCAAAGAGAGGAAGATGGGAATTGAACCGTCTGACTTGGCAACCAGTGTCAGGATCTCAGTCGGCGTGGCAATGAGGCATGCCAGCCAGGCACTGATAGCATTCTTGCAGTGACGATGCTGAAATGATTTCTAGCTGAACACCATGCTTCATTTTCTACCAACGATTTCCCCTGAAAGCAATAGCAAGTGAAGTTATAGGTAAAATGATAAAGGAGTGTATTTTGGGAAAAAACATTCTTAGAGTGAGTCAGTAGATATTAGTAAATATCACTTGTTGAGGAGTTAAAGCTCAAAAGCATAGAAGTCCCTTCTCATTTTTTTAATTTTTAAAAAAGATATGTTTTCATTGATTTTTAGAGAGAGAGGAAGGGAGAGAGAGGTAGGAACATCAATGTGTGCCCTGGCCGGTTTGGCTCAGCAGTTAGAGAGTCAGCCCATGGACCAGAGAGACCCGGGTTCAGTTCCCGCTAAGGGCACGTACCTCGGTTGCAGTTTGTCCCTGGCCCCAGTTGGGGTTGTGTGGCTGGCAGCCAGTCGATATGTCTCTCTCACATTGATGTTTCTCTCTCTCTCTTCTTCCCTCTCTTCCTCCTGATCTATCTGAAGATGAGCGCAGAAATGTCCTCGGGTGAGGATAAAAAAGAAAGAAACATCGATGTGAGAGAGAAACACTGATCGGCTGCCTCACACATGCCCCCTATTGGGGATCGAGCCTGAAACCCAGGCATGTGCCCTGACCTGGAATCCAACCAGGACCTCTCAGTCCATAGGACGATGCTCAATCCAGTGAGCAACACCAGCCAGGCCCCCCTTTCATTTCACTGGTAACCTGGCAATAGTAGCAGGCAGGTGCTTTCACCTTTTCATGTGTGTTTCTCACCTGCCAATAGTGGGAGGGACTGGAGGTAGGAGAATAAGAATGGCCTCTGGCAGGAGGGTGAATCATAGGGTTAAGAGGGGTAATTTTCTTTCTCTTAAATAATATAATGATATAGAGTATTCAGAAAAGACCAAAGCTACAGTACATACACTTAATGGCAGTGAGCAAAAGGTCCAATTACTCTTTCTTAGCCTCTGCTGGTTTTCTATCTCCAATATCTTTCATGGAGACCTGTGGTTCTTTGGGTAGATGTATTTGTGTCCTGGGACTGCCATAATAAATTCCCACAAATTGGGAGAATTAAAACAACAGGAATTTATTTTCTCACAGTCTAGAGGCTCTAAATCTAAAGTAAAAATGTTGGGCCCTGGTCAGTTATCTCAGTTGGTCAGAGCATCGTCCCATACGCCAAGGTTTCGGGTCCTATCCCTGGTCAGGGCACATACAAGCACCAACCAATGAATGCATAAATAAGTGGAATAACAAATTGATGTTTCTCTCTCTCAAAAATCAATCAATCAATAAATTTTTAAAAATCCTCACCCGAGGACATTTTTCCACTTTTTGTTCAGATAGAGTGGGAGGGAGAGAGAAGAAGAGAGCGAGCGAGAGAGAAACATTGATGTGAAAGGGACACATTGAGGCTGCCTCCTGCACGACCCAACCAGGGCTGGGGACAAACTGCAACCGAGGTACATGCCCTTAGCAGGAACCGAACCCGGGTCTCTCTGGACCACAGGCCAACGCTCTAACTGCTGAGCCAAAGTGGCCAGGGCAATAAATAAAAATTTTTTAAAAATGTTGATAGGTTTAGTTTCTTCAGGGGACTCCAAGGGAGATTCTGTTCCATGCTTCTTTCCTAGCTGGTGGTGGTTAGTAATCCTTGGTGTCCCTTGGCTTGTAGCTTCATCACTCCAATCTCTGCCTCCATCATCACACGCCTTCCTCCCCAGTGTAAGGTCTCTGTGTTTTCTCCTTTTTTTTATAAGGACACTAGTCATATTGGACTTAGAGTTCAGTAAATTTTGTGTAGTGAAGGGATTCTTAAACTGGAGTCAACAGCCCATGGAATAACTGAAATTACATGGATTATTTTGGTATCCTTGGCACAGAGTGGTGGTAGTATAAAATTTGTTGGGTGTTGAAATGAGTATGTTAAGAGTGAGGACAGAGTTTTCAAATTTCTGAAATGGGCTAGGGATCTCAAGAAGGGACAACATTACTGGTAGAGTCAGTTGCTCTCCACGTTGGATTTATTTAGTTTAATTATCTCAAGACCATTCTGCCTTAGATTCCAACCACCTGTCCCATTTTCCCCCTACCCACACACCAGCAAGTCACAATGGCAATAAGGCAAATGTAAGGACACCATGGATATTCAGAAACAAGCTTGAAGGCGCTAGTTACAGACTGATAGAGGAATAGGGATCAGCTATTTTCACTGCCATTTAGAACTGAAAGAAGTTTGAGGCAAATGAGGGCTTATAGAAAGTAGGAACAAGCTACTGAGGGTGTTTCAGAACTCTGCTAAACGGTGCTTAGGAAAATATACTTTCACTTGGAGGCAAGGCACAGTCACAGCTGGCAGTGCAGACTATTTTCAGTGTCCAGTTTGGTTTCGCATCACTACGAGTCTTTTTTTTTTTTTTTTTTTAATTTATCCTCACCCGAGGACATTTTTTTCCATTTTTTGCACAGATAGAGTGGGAGGGAGAGAGAGGAAGAGAGAGAGAGATCGATGTGACAGGGACACATCGAGTGGCTGCCACTCGCACGACCAACCAGGGCCGGGGACAAACTGCAACCGAGGTACATGCCCTTAGCGGGAACCGAACCTGGGTCTCTCCGGACCGCAGGCTGACGCTCTAACCGCTGAGCCAAACCGGCCAGGGCTCACTACGAGTCTTAAATCCTTGTTGGCTGAGCTTGAACAGTTACACACGTTGAAAGAAGGTGGAAAGAAAAGACATGAAGACACGGGCTATGAAGAGGCCACAAATAAATTTGGAAAGGGAGTGGGCTTTCTGTAGATGACTGACCACGTGCATCATCAGGGAGCTCTTCACTTTTTTCTCACCTTTTCTAATTTTTGCCGCAGTATTCCGTTTTCATTTTCAAGTAGTTTAATTCTGTCATCGCGTTGCTCTACTTCATGAATGAAGCGATTCTTGACTCTGTGAAGCTTGGTTTTGTGATCATAACATTTTTTATTATAGTTTCTGTAAAATAAATACAGGCACACTTGAACACAGTGAAAATTTTTTTTGCCTCCTCAGTATGCATCTTTCTTGGGTTTCCTCTCCTTGCTTTGTCAGGGCCTGGAACCAGGGAGGGATACCTGTCTTGCCTCCCATTTGCAATACTTCTTGCCCCCAAGTGGGGGAATGGGCCAAAGATAACCTCCTACAGAACACCAGCTTTTAGTCATCACCATGGCCTCAAGTCTCTGGCTTATCTTGGTCTTGAGCTGATGGGTGTAAGCCATACTTACAAGCTTAATTTTGGAAACTCCTTGACTTCTGATCCTCGCTCCACTGATTCAGTAACTAGTTTTGAACTGTCTAGTTCTTAGCTATACCCTTGTATAGTAATATAACCCACTTCAGTTTTGCCTATTTTCCAGATAGCTAGGTCTGCTTTCAGCCCTTGCCTTCAGTCTGGCCTAAATGCCAGTTCTATGTAGGTCTCTGCTCAGAACTCTTACTCTGATTCCGATATAAATCTTACTTACCGCCAACAAGCACATAAAAAGATATTCAACATGATTAGCTATTAAGAAAATGCAACCGAAAACTATAATGAGATATAACTCCACCTCCACTAGGATGGCTAAAATAAAAAAGAAAGGTGGTAACAGTGCTGACAAGGATGTAGAGAAATTGCAATTCTCACATGCTGCTAGTAGGAATGGCAAATGGCACAACCTCTTTGGAAAAAGCCTGGCATTTCCTCAGATGGTTAAACATAGAGCCATATGACCCAGCCATTCCCCTCCTAGAGAAATTCCAAGAGAAATGAAAACATACGTCCACACAAAAACTGTATATGAATGTTCATAGTAGCACTATTCATAAAAGCAAAAAGGTGGAAACAACCCACATTTCCATCAACTGACTGAATAAACAAGATGTGGTGTATACATACAATGGAATATTATTCAACCTTAAAAAGGAAATTTTGACACATGCTAAATTATAGAAATGTGGAGAAAAATCCAATTTCTAATATGATCAGTATTATATTGTATTTTTTTAGTTTTTAGTGTTTTTTTAAAAATTAATCCTCACCCAAGGATATTTTCCCATCGAATTTTAGACAGAATGGGAGGGAGTGGGAGGGAGAGTGGGGGAGAGAGAGAGAAACATCAATGTGAGAGAGATACATTGATTGGCTGCCTCCTGCACGACCCTGACCAGCAACTTGGGTATGTGCCCTTGACCAGAATCAAACCCATGACCCTTCAGGCTGATGCTCTAACTGCTGAGCCAAACAGGCCAGGGCTCCTTTTAGTCTTTTTATAAGCATGTTTTGTTTAAACATTGTCTACATTAAAATTTTTATCATATGCTCTTTTCACAGACTATATCTTAATCATTTCCCCATGCGGTTATCTAGTCTTCACAGCCACCATCTTTTACAGTGGTAATATGTCCCATGAATATATTATACTTGACCTAACTAATTCCTATTGCTGATGTGCAGGTTTCTTCCTGTAGTGTTATGTATGGTTGCAAGAGTGCTGCAGTCCAAGTGAGGGCTTAGAGCCTTCGCTTGCATTGCTGGCTTGCTGTTTGGCACACCTGGTGATTTGGTCAGAAGTTCTGTTGGCCAACTTGCCTGAAGAACATGTGGCTTTGTTAACTACTAGCACCATGAGGCAGCACAATACTGATGTTCTAAAATTCAGGGACAGCTTTTTGCTTATGTTTAAATAAAACCAGATGGCCTTTCTATTCTTTCTATCCCAAAGAAGCAAGGAATTTGTTCCTCTGGAAGAGTGGATGGGAAAGCGTGGAAAAAATGAGCATTGTCCATAAAGGTCAGGTCTGGGATCTGGGGAATGAAAACAGAAATGAACCTAGAGTTTTGACAGTTCCTTCCATTTTCATTCCTAAAGCTGTAGTTTTCAACCCTGCATGCACATCAGAGTCACATGGGGAGGCTTTTAGCAGAATATCAATCCCCAAGCCTTATCTGAAGAGTATGATTTCATTAATCTATGTTGGGGCCCAGGCATATGCAGCAAGGGTTAGGATCCACTGTCCAAAAGGCTATGGACAAATAACATGGGAAAATATTCAGCCTCACTGCCCATCAGAACAACTCAAAATAAAATAACAGTCAAGCCGCCTGGTGTGGCTCAGTGGTTGAACGTCGACCCATACACCAAGAGGTCGCTGGTTGGATTCCCGGTCAGGGCACATGCCCGGGTTGTGGGCCCAATCCCCAGTTGAGGGCATGTGGGAGGCAGCCAATCAATGTTCTCTCTCATCAGTGTTTCTGTCTCTCTCTCCCTCTCCCTTCCTCTCTCTCTAAAATCAATAAAGGGGAAAAAAAAACCAGTCATGTAATTTATGACTACATGAGCATTAAAAATCATAGCATATGTTGAGCTAAAGAAGTTCAGACATAAAAGATTACATGCAGTATGAGTCCTCTTAGATGGAGTTTTAGCAGAGAGAAATCAGAAGAGGGAATGCCTGGGAGGAGGTTGTGGGGAGAAGGAGATACAGATTGACTGCAAAAAGGTAGGAGAGAACTTTGAGGGATAATGAGAATGTTCTGTATCTTGACTGAAGCAGTGGTTATGTCAGTGTATACATTTATTGAAACTCATCAAATTGTACATTTAAAACCTGTGCATTTATAATAAGTAAGTTATACCTCAATTAAAATAAATAATATTGGGACAATTTCATCAATAGCAGCACCCAGGGCTAATGAGGATACAGTGAAACTGCTACTCTTCTACAATGATGACAGAAAATTTGGGTAGGGTGCTTCTGAATTGTTGTCAATACATTTCAAGATCCAGAGTACCAGCTTTTTGACCAGTAATTCCACCCCTGGGAATTTAGTTGATAAAAATAATTTTTAAAATGAAAAGTATATACACGAAAATGTTTTTTTTCAGTGTTATTTTGAATAAAAATGTGAATCGTAGGCCAGTGAGAAATTTTTAACTAATTAGGACTGTGTTGTGAGGGTTGACTCCGGCAGGCCTAGAACTGCCCTGAGCTATTTTGCTAAAGTTCTCGTTTGGCACTGAACACTGGTCAAGGAATGAAAATACTGATTACAACTGTGTTGCTTTGTAAACACAGGTCCATGGAGTTTCATGGCAGTTTGCATCAGCTTGTCAGCATTGTTTATTGATAACAATGAGATTTATGATTTGTACCTAGTCTCAGTGAGACCCCAGGAAGGCTCTGCTCTTGAGGCTGGTTACATTGCAGAGATATGCTTACATGACCAGTAGAATATTTTTTAAAATCTCAGTTGAGAATCCATTTCGGGATCCTGGTTGTTAGGTATTTAGTGCACATTTCTGGTTCGTGACCCGAGAGAGGAGGTGCACCCAGGCATGGCCCTCGCATAGGGAAGGCCTCTGGGCTCCTGCCTCGCGGCTCTGGATGGCCTGCTGTGAGACCATGGCTGTGACGGTACCCTGCCTCTATTCTGTTGCCACTTTGTGTCCTTCTGCAGTGAGCTGTACATTGGTAAGCGCTGTCACTGGGATTCTGTTAGTCTTCTTTAGCAATCAAGCCCAGTTTAACTGGCATTGTTAGTGCATGACTTGTCAACTTTATGAAACTTTATGCTTTACAAAAATAAGCAAATTCAAAGACTCTAGCAACACTGCACAATGCTGACGAGATGATATCAAGAGAAAGAGAATATAAAATTTTCTCTAAGCTAAAATAGTAAAATCATGAAACTATAAAATTATGTTTAGACAGAGGACAAGGAGAGAACATGTGATGGATTCTGAGTAAGTGTTTTGCAAATTCAAAAATTTTCATTGTTCTTTAATTATTTGTGAAATGGATGAAAAAAATGTAACTCCCAAGAAACCAAATGTCATTTTACCTTTGGAGGCTGATATTGACCTATCATATACCAGGATTATATAATATATAATATATATATACACATATAATATATATAATACATGTATTATATATAGATTCGGTATCAATTAATTTGGCAAGCAGTGTGGCACTTTACATACTCTAGCTCTAGTACTTCATTCTCTCACCTCCATATAATGTAGAAAGAGCACTGCATAGGTTATCAGAGGGCTGAGTTCTTCTCTAAGATTTGTAAGCAGCATGAATTAAACCCTTGACCATGATTTCTACATTTCTTAGTGATATAATGATCAAAGCAAGATAATGAATATTGCCCTGGCCGGCTCAGCAGTTAGAGCGTCGGCCTGTGGACCAAAAAGTCACGGTTTCGACTCCAGTCAAGAGCCATGCCTTGGTTGCCGTTGGTTCCCAGCCCTGGTCGGGGTCACGCAGGAGGTAACCAACTGATGTGTCTCTCTCATATCAATGTTTCTCTCTCTCTCTCCCTTACTCCCTCACTCCCTCCAGCTCTATCTGAAGATTAATGTAAAAAAAATATATATCCTTGGGTGAAGATTACAAAACAACAACAGGCTACCAAGAGTACTGATGTTGCTAAAGGTGTGACAGTGCTCATGAGATAATGATCACAGGCAACTGAGAAAGTTTAAAACGGAATCATTTGGGGGGACTCTAGAATGGATTAATTCAATTTACATTATTTCTCATGGGGAAAAAAAAGATTCAGTTTTTGAACAAATCACTTCTTAAACAGACTTCCAGAATGAATAAAGTTTGAGAACCGAGGTTTCACTGTATCATTAACATCATCAACATAGTAAGGAAGGACATAAAAGAATAAGAAACTTCAATCTGTAAAGGAATAAAACAGAAGACTACAGAACTGGGAGCAGAGGAGTTGGTCATGGAGAAAAAACAAAAAATGAATTAATATAATAATATCTGTGTGCTAGACACTGTTCTAAGTACATACTTTACATATATTTATTCACTTAATTCTCACAACAACCTTAGGAGATAAGTAATGTTATTTTGCCCATTTTAAAGATGAAGGACCTCAGACACAAAGCACTTATATAACTCACCCAAGGTCACACAGCTGGTTTCTAATAGAAACAAGATTTGTACCCAGGCAGTATGGCTTCAGAGTCCATACTCTGAACTACTGTGCTACCTTCCAGAGAGGAGGAGAGCAGGAGGAATCTGGTGAAATGATGACCAGGAAACAGAATGAAAGAGCGGGAAGAGTCCTGGCTGGTTTGGCTCAGCGGTTAGAGCGTCAGCCTGCGGTCCAGAGACCCGTATTCGGTTCCCGCTAAGGGTATGTACCTCGGTTGCAGTTTGTCCCCGACCCTGGTTGGGTCGTGCGGGTGGCAGCCACTTGATGTGTCCCTTTTACGTTGATGTTTCTCTTTTTCTCTCTCTTCCTCTCTTTCCCTCCTGCTCTATCTGAACAAAAAGTGAAAAAATGTCCTCGGGTGAGGATAAAAAAAAAAAGAATGAAAGAACAGGAAGATCAGGAACGCACATTTTTATTGAGCACCTATTATATATCAGGAGCTACAGATAAACAGATGAATGAGATTGCGGCCCATGCTCCTGAAAAGCCTACAGTGTGGTGAAGAAGACAGGTGGCAAAATCACATTATTTCAAAACAACACGGCAAGCTCTTAAATAAGTACACAGAGGCATGTACAAAGGGCTATAGGGACACCTGAATGAACACATCTTCCAGCCCAGGCTGCTGGTGTCAAGAAAGCCTTTTTGGAGAAGGTGACTGCTAGTCTAAGAAGTATGAGCTGAAATGAAAAGGTGAAATGGGGAGAGGGTGGTCCAGGCTGAGGAAGGTATTGGGGGGGGGGGGCATGAAGGCAAGTGAGGAGGAGGGTGCATTTGGAGAAAAGCAAGAATTTCCCTTCCAAAGAGAACTTGTTTTTGTTTACCTCATATGGACATCAATCTGCTTCACAAATCTCCTACACTCCTTATGTAGAGCTTTCTTCTCTTGCTGCAACCCAGACACCTTCTTCAACAATTCCTGGTTGCTCTTGAGATACTGAAAAACATTTTTTAAAATGAGAATATTCTGTGCTGAATAAAGGTATGATGTTGATGGATGATGCTGATGGAATGTAAACTGACAAAGCCTTTCTGCTGCAAAAGGCTTACAGTGGCTCCAGCTTCTGATACCAGAGTCACTTCCTGTGATTTCTGCTCTTCCAGATTTTCTGAAAGCTAGCAGCTCTTTTCCTCGACTTTTGCCACCAGCCTTTCCAATAGTTTTACAAGCATCTAATTATCTATATAAAAAGTCTTCCAGTTTGAAGTACATAAAGTGAGAGCTACTTTCCTGACCTAACCCTGACCAATGAAGTATCTGGTTCTAGAAAGCATTCCAGCGAATAGGTCCTCAAATATGGGAAGCTCAAAGATTGGTTATCTGACCAGGTTAGATTTAAAGGCAGTATGATATTATCACTAGTGCTAGATATCCATGACATAAGGCTTGATTTAATTATAACTTACAGTTACCTGTCATGAAGTACTCTGGGAGACCACATGACTGGTACAAAGAATGTTACAGAAGAATTAAGAAGTACAAGGAGTTTGGGGTGGGGGTGAGGTTAGCCACATTCGACCATGTCAATGAGCTTTCAAGGAGATAATGTCCAACTTGGGGATTTAATTATTTTTATTTATTTATTTATTTTTTTTATCCTCACCGGAGGACATTTTTCCATTTTTTGTTCAGGTAGAATGGGAGGGAGAGAGAGGAACAGAGAGAGAGAGAGAAACATCGACGTGAAAGGAACACATCGAGTGGCTGCCACCCGCATGACCAACCAGGGCCGGGGACAAACTGCAACCGAAGTACGCGCCCTTAGCGGGAACCAAATCCGGGTCTCTCAGGACCACAGGCCGACGCTCTAACCGCTGAACCAAACCGGCCAGGGCAGGGGATTTAATTATTGAAACAAGGCACAGTCAGAGACTCAGAGCGCTTCTATAAATGCTCTGAGAGAACCTCTTCTCTCTTGTAGGCAGCAGGTCAATGTATCCAAAAACAAAATCCCAAATTTCATCAAGTAGTTTGCAGAATGACAGCACAAGTTGACTTCACAGCCTTGCCAGGTCTCTTTTTTGAAAAAGAATGCTTTGTTTGGGAATGCATGGAAATTTGAGAAATGGGAATGAATACATTTGGCAGGATTCCAAAGACTGAGCACCCTGGACTTCCAGGTTCTACCCAGCCTCTATTGTCTGCATAAGCAGTTCTTTCTTTGCTCTTAGGAGATCAGCCACTCTTGCCTTGGTCTCTTATTGAGTTCTCTTGAGGCAGTTATCCCATAAGAGGATACCTCTTGTTCTCAAAATCCACCTCTATGCTGCCACTACTCATTGCCTCCAATCCTACAACTAGAGTCAGATCCTAGGACATCCCAGGGTATAGGGCTTGAGTTTAGGTCCTGATCTGGGAGGACTACCATACTGAAAAGATGAAACTATGTTGCCAACTTAAATTGGCAGAAATCTGAGAAATATATATAAGAATGTATTTGTAGGGTGTTATACTACAAAGAAAGAAATATAATGTCGAATAGGTCAAATTTATTGATATGGATGCACTTAATAGGGATTCTGGATGTAATGTGTTTAACTTGAACACCTAAAATGACTTCAACAGTTTGCTTTGTTGAAATTTGGATTCAACAATGGCTCATGCTAAATGATGTTAAGATGTTATACCTTCCTGATATAAGAAAGAGGAAGAAATCCAAAGGCTTAAGCACTAAACTTAACACTAGCAAGTAGATGAATGGGCAGTCAGCAGATGAGGGGCTTCACGAAGAGTCCCTACAAATCCCCCACTTTAGTGCTGCAGGTTCATTTCTGAACGTCTGCATTTATTGAAAGCCAGAGCAGTTCTTTCTGACCTCCTTACCCTCAACTCTCCCTTCCAACCATTGTATAGGCATGTTATTCCCTGTGTTAAATCCCTTTCTGTTTGAAATACCTAGAGTAAATTCTGCTTTCCTGACTGAACTCTGACTAAACTAATGGGTAAAGCCCTGGGCACTCAATAATGATTAGCTATCGCTCTACGGCAGCGATTTTCTACCATTTTCATCTCATGGCACACATAAACTAAAATCACTAAAATTCTGCGGCACACCAAAATATTTTTTTTCCAATCTGACAAAAAAAATAGATATATTTTGATTCATTCACACTGTATGGCTATTGTTGTGTTGGCTGTTGTCATTTTTTAAAATTTGACAGTCTAAGGGGAAAGAGGTCAGTGCCCCTGACTAAATAGTCAGGTATTGTATGTTTTAAAAATTCTTGCCGCATTCCGGTTGGAAGTCACTGCTCTTGGGAACTGGAAAACTAAGAAGCGTGTCTATATACTTTCTTACCGCATCAGATTTTCTTTTATTATTTTCCAGTTGTTTAAGTTGGGCCTCTTGTTGCTGAATTCTGTATTGTTGCTGAAAATTGGTCCTTTCCAGTACGTTCTCTTTATCCTGTAAGATTTTAACTTCCTTTTGTAGCTCATTTATATTCTGATCTAGGAGTTTCCTGAGGGCAATTAATATACATTAAATCACACTGTGAATTGCAAAGCTTTGTGAATAAAACTCTTTGAGATAAAATTGTTTTGTTTTGTTTTTAATCTTCATCCAAAGATATGTTTTTTTGTTGATTCTAGAGAGAGAGGAAGGGAGAGGGAGAGAGAGAAACATTGATGTGAGAGAGAAACAGATATGAGAAAGTAACATTGATCAGCTGCCTCCTGCAAGCACCCCGACTGGGGATCAAACCCACAATCTGGGTAGGTGCCCTGACCAGGAATTGAATAAGCAACACTTCAGAGTATGGCATGACATTCCAACCAAGTGAGCCACATAGGAAAGGTTGAGATAAAATTGTTATATTATCACAGAGGAGTTTTTTGGGTTCAGTGAGGTGGGTTATGTGTCCATAAGATAAAGGGACCAACATAGGGAACTTCCTCTGTGACAGAAACTTTTCTTATCTCTCTCTCACCAACTCTATGAAGAAGAAATAACTCTTTTTATTTCACAGGGGAAGTTGTGACAGAGTTTTAGTTACCTTGCTCGAGGTCACACAGCTAGAACAAGATAGAGACAGGGCTCTGATCTTGAATCCAGTATTCCTCCTCCTATTCCTCACTGCTTTACAAGTTGAGTCCATTGATCTTCTTGGTTCAATATGGGGTTGTTAGTTACAAACACCACTGATACTAATATATACATGTTAACACTACTGTAGCTGAATCATGAATGAGCCTGTGTTTGATGAGTGTTAAAAAAGAAATACCAGGCCCAAAATGGAGCCACCTGTGCTAAGCGTCATGTCAGTAAATCAGGACCTAGTGCAGTTTCAGCCTCTCTCAGGAATGTGACCTTTAACCAGTCAACCAAGAACTACCTGGTCAGTGCTGGTGAGCAAATCTGCTTGGTAGATCCCCATCTTTACCCAAAGGGCAGTGACTTGGCCTAAAATACTGCACTCTTTGCTAGAAACTTCCTTTCCCTGCATATCCCTTCTGCCTATAAAAGCCTTCCATTTTGTACAGCTCCTTAGAGCTCCTTTCTCTGCTAGGTGGGATGCTGCCCAACTCATGAATTGCTGAATAAAGCCAATTAGGTCCTCCAATTCACTCAGTTGAATTTTGTTTTTCGTTTTTGTTTGTTTTTTTTTTTTATCCTCACCCAAGGACATTTTTCCATTTTTTTGTTCAGACAGAGTGGGAGGGAGAAAGAGGAAGAGACAGAGAGAGAGAAACATCAACGTGAAAGGGACACATTGAGTGGCTGCCTCCTCCACGACCCAACCAGGGCCGGGGACAAACTGCAAACGAGGTACATGCCCCCAGAGGGAACCAAACCTGGGTCTCTCTGGACTGCAGACCTACGCTCTAACCGCTGAGCCAAACTGGCCCTGGCAAATTTTGTTTTTTAACATGAAGAAATTCACCCTTTTCCAAAAGGGCCATATGTACATAACTCCTTCAGAGGGAGTTTCGCCAGACTACAGTTTGTAGAATGTTTCTGGGGGTTTCAGACAAGCTTCTTTGGAGTTAGAAGATTTATGTAGACAAATATGATGATCCTCATAATATAGCAATGGTGGGCAAAATACTCACCTGAATGCTAGGTCACTAAAATATTGTTACCACATAAATAAATTTGCTTTTTCTAACTTCAGTTTTTTTTTCAGAAATCAGTGGATTATTGGGAAAGATGTATTGAAACATAGGGTTCAGATCTCTCAACCTCTAGTTCTTCTCGTGGTTCTGGATGTAAGTGCAGGCTTTCCAAGAACTGCTGGAGCTTACTTTCTACCATTTACACCCACCCCTGCACCAACACCCCCGCCTTTCAACTCTATTTCATCTAATTCGTTATATACATGAGCAATCCCTTACTATTGCTGTCTATTTCTTCTTTTTTGGTTCCATTCTGAATTTCTGATCAAGAGACCAGATTAAGACAAGCCTTGGAGCTGAAAGGGAAGTTTTAATTTGCTAGACCTGAAAACCTTAGTGGTCTGCGGTAAAATTCAGGAGTTAGAAACGGGTTGAAAAATAAGAAGTCAAAATTTAAAGAGCAACTCATGAATATGCTAGAAATTAATTTCTATATTATATGTAGGGCTTGAACAATAAAACATTAACAAGCCAGTTCTGCCAGTAAACAAAATTAAGAATTTGGTAAATTGATAAAATTCCCTTGTCTCCCTAATAGCCTAAACTCTTTCAATCCTTCCTGTACATAGCAAGCAGAGTGTTCTATCTCAATCACAATCTAATCTTATCACTCCCTCTGCTTAAAATCCTCAGTGGTTCACATTACCTTTTTTTTTTAAATACTCACCCAAGGGTATGTTTGGTTTTTTTTTTTTATTGATTTTAGAGACTGAGGAAGGGGGAGAGAGAAACATCAATGTGAGAGAGAAACATCGATTGGTTGCTCCCATATGCGTTCTGACTGGGGATCGAACCCACAACCTAGGTATGTGCTTGACTGGGAATTAAACCTGAGACCCTTTAGTCTGAGGGCTAACACTGTACTGCTGAGCCAAACCGGCCAGGGTGAGGAAGGCTTTCTTGAGCTCTCTAGATGAGATTAGATGTCCTTGCTACATGCTATCACATTATCTATCCTAAACTTCCCTTAGCATAACACATATTTCATTGCAGTTTCAAAGTCTTATGTAGAAGAATATTCTTCAAGGTGAAACCGAGGGTCCTGATTTAACGTACGACTTCTGTTTAATACGCAGCCCCAGCACTCTAGTCAGTTTCTTCACAGCTGCCCTGTAAGCCTTAGCCCAACGGTTCTCAACCTGTGGGTCGCGACCCCTTTGGGGGTCGATCGGCCCTTTCACAGGGGTCACCTAAGACCATTGGAAAACACATATTTCCGATGGCAACTCATAACAGTAGCAAAATTACAGTTATGAAGTAGCAATGAAAATAATTTTATGGTCGGGGTCACCACAACATCAGGAACTGTATTAAAGGGTCGTGGCATTAGGAAGGTTGAGAACCACTGCCTTATCCCTTTTCCGTACCAGTCATTAACCCCGAGGCAGCCAGAAACAATGGCCTTCACTAAGGGTCACAAGGTATCTTCTGTTAAGCTGAAGATAATATCTTAACCTAAGTTAGGTTTCAGCTCCTGAGCCCTAAGGTGGAACTTCCTGACTACTTTTCCATGAAACCAGACAGAGGGACACCAGAGCTTTTCTCAAGAAATGCTGTATTACCCTTACTTTACCTTCCAACCAATCAGCTCCCAGCACGACCCCAAACCTCTAATGCATGGTGTCTTATAATTTGGTTCTATACAATCTGTAACCTACATGCCATCAGGGAGTTTGGGCTTTTGAGCTTTAGCTTCCCGTTCTCTGGGGTGGTGCCATTTATAATAAAATAGCCAATAGTTCTCCACTGCAACTTTCGGTTTTTAGTATTTTGCTCTGCTAGCGCCAGGTGGATGAACTCTTTCTGTTTGATAACAATAGCATTATTTATAAGAACGAAAATGTCTAAAAAACATTTTACATAAATAATGATAGATTTATGTAAAAGGATGCTATAACACTGTTTAAAAGAATACTATGAAATTATAAATCAATAACAGAAAGATAGCTGGAAAATCCCCAAATATTTAGAGATTAAACATAGTTCTAAAATTGCATTTGTCAAAAAAAAGAAGTCTCAAGAAATTAAAAAATAGTTTGAAGTACATGTATTTTACATGAAAATGAAATACAACTTATAAAATTTGTGAGAGGCAGCAAAAACTGCTTAGAAGAAATTTATAGCATTAAATGCAACTATTATAAAAGAAAATCAACAATCTAAGTTTCCACCTTAGGAAAACTAGAGAAAGAGACCAATATAAGCCTAAATAAGGCAGAATAAAAGAAACAATAAAAATTAGAGCAGAAATCCCATAAAACAGGAAAACAATAGAGGAAACCATGAAACTGTTACTGGAAAGGGGACCTGGCCCTGAGCGGGTCTGCCTAGGGCCAGCCAGGAGTGGTGGGTTCTTGACTCCATGCAGGAAAAACTGCACATGAGTCCAGGTGAATTTTAGAGGACATTTATTAAAGCTGGGGACAAGAGCCCTGACCGGTTTGGCTCAGCGGTTAGAGACTCAGCCTGCGGTCCAGAGAGACCCGGGTTCGGTGCCCGCTAAGGGCACGTACCTCGGTTGCAGTTTGTCCCCGGCCCTGGTTGGTCGTGCGGGTGGCAGCCACTCGATGTGTCCCTTCACGTTGATGTTTCTCTCTCTCTCTTCCTCTCTCTCCCTCCCGCTCTATCTGAATAAAAAATGGAAAAATGTCCTCGGGTGAGGATTAAAAAAAAAAAAAAAAAAGAAAGCAAGCTGGGGACAAGAAAGGGCTGGGGAAATAAACCTAGGCTGGTCTGCTTTGCTGACTAAGAAGTCAGAGAAAAGAGGGCCTTGGGGACAGGTTTAGGGGGTTTGAACTGCCGCCCATTGCTGCCCTGGTTGCAAGTTGGGGGGTCCCTTAGAGTTTAGGAGATGCATGCCTATGGGAGAAGAAGGGTGGGGGTGAGGGTGTGCTCCTGGGAAGAAGAGCTCATGTTGGGTCCTTTGTGGATTTTCTCTCTTTTTTGCAAGCTGGAATCTTAGGGAGGTCTCAGGAGAGGGTTTCAACAGAATATTCATCAGTTTTCTAGGTGTGCTCCTTCCGGGTCATGGTCCTCACTGACTGGTCAGTGTCAGGGAAGGGAGTTGGTCATTGCAGCTGGTCCTGGTTTTGCTGATTTTCTGTGCCTGGAGCTGAAATACAACTGAGGCCTAGATGTAATTTCTAGGGAGGTGACCTTCAGTATCTGCTATAAATTGCTCTGTCAGTTTGTTTAGTTATCTGTCTCAGTTTCCCTAATCCAGTTGTCCTGGTTTACTGGCTTGTCTCAAAATTAAAGCTGGTTCTTTAAAAAGATCAATAATATTGATAAACCTCTAACCAGGCTAACCAAGAAACAGAAGACATAAATTACTAAAATCAGAAGT